TAAGAAGCATTTCAAATTCTGGTCACCTCTGCCTGTGGAACAGCAAAATGCTCCAGACGCAGACTTTGGAAAGAGACCCAAGTGTGACCCCAAAGTCCCAGAGACTCACACACCGTCCTTCCCAAGCTGGCCATGGCCCCAGGCACCCAAGAAAGGCCGGCTGGGTCCCCAGCTAGGGCCCCTGCTAGCTGCCCTTCCTGCCTGTGGCTCAGGGCCAGCTTCCTCCTCTTTTTAAATAATGAATTAGCTCGTGTCTGGGGTTTGTAAATAAAGCACACCGAGAGAACCAGCATTTCCAAAGTTGCTTACTCAAAGGAGGAGAGCAAAAAGCCAAGTTTGTTTGGCAGAGTTCAAGTAAATCGATAAATGAGGGCCACGACCAGAGGAAAACTTACCCCGTTTGTGCCAGTTCCTCCTCCTCCACTGTGAAACTTTGTCACCAGGCAACAAGAGACTTGGGACCTGGAGTTAATTAGCATAGTCTTGACGCCAGCCTGCAAGGTGGGAACACAATAGCTGAGAGGTCTCCAGGACACACAGGCGCAGGCGCAACTAGCTGTCCTTGTGGGGGAGGGGGGCGGGGTGGGGACACCCGGGGCCTGGGCTCCTCCAGCTTCTTGTTGCAGGGGGCTTTCCTCTCTGCCACCTCCAGCAGCATGGTGGACACTTCTCCACCAGGCAGAACTGGCCTGCCATGGCCACACCAGAAGTGGACATTGCTAATGGAAGAACAGCCACGCTTGCCCCTTTTAAGGAACAAACACCTTACTTCTATATAAAGCACTGAGTCAGTCCCATGAAATATCATTCGTCTTCCTCATTATTTGTCCAAATAGCTTTTTCAGCTCTTTGATCTGTGAGAGAGCTATCTTTTATCTGCTTATTTGAATTTAATTATTTCTTGCGTTTTTCTCTTTGTGCCCTTTTCACACGATGAAGTCAGAATGACCATAATGCGCATATAAACCGTACAATTATATAGTCATTTTTGTCTCACTTAATATTATGTTAAATGCTGATGTGTAATTTCTAAAATCTACCGCTCAATAGAATGTGTAATACTGAATCTGGTGGATTGGGCTTTTCCTGTTGTTTCTAATTTGGTGCTGTCGTGAATAGGGCTGCAACAAATATATTTGTACATTTATAATCTTTTTGTTCAGTTTTTTCCTTTAAACTAAATTGCCAGAAATTGAGAAGACCAGCAAAAAGTTACCCATGAAAACTATTATGCAAATAATAACATTGTAGAAAAATTTGAAAATGCATACATAGAAGTAAATCAATATGCCCAAAATTATACTACCCAAATGAAATTAAATAAAATAATTAGCAGATAAGTAATTTGAACTACAAAATAAATCCAAGCACTGCACATTTTGAAAAGTATTAAAGCAAAAGGAAAGAGTTTAAATTAAAAAATAAAAATACAGTTAACCACAAAAACTTTAGATACATGAATATCACCAGTTTTTTTTTTTTTTTTTTTTAAGATTTTATTTATTTATTTGACAGACAGAGATCACAAGTAGGCAGAGAGGCAGGCAGAGAGAGAGAGAGGAGGAAGCAGGCTCCCTGCAGAGCAGAGAGCCCGATGCGGGGCTCGATCCCAGGACCCTGGGATCATGACCTGAGCCGAAGGCAGAGGCTTTAACCCACTGAGCCACCCAGGCGCCCCTCACCAGTTTTTTTTAATGCAAAACTTAAAAAAAGGTCATTTAATTTAGACAATAAATGGATTTAAAATAATTATCAAATTCAGATAAGTAGAAAATTAAAAGTTACCCAAAGTCCTGTGACCCAGTGTATTTCTAGACTATTAGTAAAAGTACATCATTTTAAATTAGAAAATAAACAATGTGAAAATCATAAAACACAGATAAGCAAAAATAAAATCAACATTTTATGGAAGAAAATGCACAAGAAGATAAATACATTTTAAAGTGCAGATATCTAAAACCTCATGAGAATTAAAGCCTCTCAGTTTCAGCATCTGGAGATAACTTCCTGTTCTATATCCTTCCAGACTTTTAATACCTCAACAGCTTCATGTTTATCTCACGGGTATGCAGTGATAACTTAGCAACTTTGCTAGGGCTTATTGTTTAAACCCAGAGGTACACAAATTACTCATTTGTCAGGAAACTGCCTTCTAAGTCAGCCAGAACTAAGGTTTTTGCCTTTGTTGCCTTTTGTTTACTTTTGTTTTCTTTGCCCTGGCAGAGGAAAGAGCTTGTCTTGTAAGTGGGGGCCCTGGGTCAGGGTTTCATCCGAACGCGTGCTTTGCACAGCCCAGTGTGTCAGGGTTTCACAAGTCCCTGCTATGTGCCGTTTGGGGGTGAACTCCTCTTGGCTTCATGCCACTCCGTCACCCCACACATCCACTTTCTCTTCTGTAAGTGAAGAAATGGCTGCCTCATTAGGTCGTTGTGGAAATTAGACAATGGGTAAGGTCTTTGCAATCTTTAACGCATGACAATTACTGGTATTTTTGATGATTATGATGATGATGATGATGATGTCTCTGAGTGAAGGGGATGGGAGATGGCTTCCAGTTACAGAATGACTAAGTCATGGGAATAAAAGGCCCAGCATAGGGAGCACAGTCAGTGATACTGTGCTAGTGTGTGGGGACAGACGGTAGCCACACTTGTGGCGAGCCCAGCATAATGTTTAGAGATGCTGAATCTCTCTATTCTCCACCTGAAACTAACATGACATTGTGTGTCAAGTGGACTCAAATAAAAATATAGATATAAAATTTTTTTATAAAAAGAAAAAAATCAGTATAGGAGTATATACATAAATTCTCAAATGAAATAAGACAGAAGTGGAAGTGATAACATAAAACAAACATATAAATAAACAAATAAAAAGTTAAAAACTATGACTCACCTTTCATTAGGTGTCTCGGCACTGCTGGTAATGGCGTCCTTAGCTGGTCGTAAGGGAATGATGGATCTTCCTTGGAGCTCATAGCCGATGAAATGAGAAATGGGATGGTGACATGCCTCTATCTTCTGCACACCATTCCACCTGGGGGCAGTGTCACAAAAGACCACCGGTAAAATTCTAGAACCCTCTCTGAAATTAAAAATGGCTGAGATTGTCTCTCATTGCCTGAGCTATAATAGGTACATTTTGTCCCCTTATTTCCTGCCCCCCCCTGTCAAACTTACAAAATAAAGTAGCAAGACTAGTGAGCTTTGCCATACGGACTCCACATGCTTGTAGCTTGACCTCCTCAGGAATGCTCAGCACATGTCCTTTCCAAGGTGGTGACCCCCACTGTCTCCAGCCTGGGCTCTGCCCATGTTCGTAGGCTTTGAAGCAGCCTGAGTTCCAGAACTGCGATAGGTGGCCGGCCCCAGACTGAGCAAGAGAACCAAACCTTCACTCGAGCCTTTGCAACCTAAAGCAATAAACTCGACTATCTTTTGCGTCTGTTCTTGTTACTGTCATTTGCCTAGATAAAATGGACATAACAGATGATTTCTCTATTGGGGGTGATGGTGTGGGGAGAGGTAAAGCCCAGCCTGGGAGCTGCATTCTATTTATAAAAAACCTACCAAGGAAAGAATTGAGTGAAAAGCGATGGGAAGCCTGAGGCAGAGTGTAGGCTGGCATTGCCGTGGTGGGAAGGTGAAGGGAACTGCCCCTGCTAGGGCACTTGGGCAGCCAGGCCTTGTCCAGACAGACTGAGGCTGAAAGGATCCTGGTGCAGGGCTTGTGAGTGGAACATAAAACGCATGTTGGGGTGACATCTGTGGGCACTTGAGTGGGACTGAGGAAGAGTGAATGGCTGGAAAGAGGAGACATGATGGGTTGGGTTTGGCAAGACATCTTGAACAAAGGTCTTGAGAGCAGAAGGAGAGTCAGAGAGGGGAGAAAAGAGAGCTGGGAAAGGAACCAAGGGATACCACAGAGGCCAAGGAACTGGGTTCCACAAATCTATGCTGAGCAGAAAGGGCATTTCATGTGGAGAAAACCCCTTCCCATCGCCTTCCCAGCACAACACCTCGTTGCCCTTCTAAACTCTTTCCCACCACATTGGTCAAAAACGGCGTTTCTTTGGTTCAGTTTGTATTTCTCAATTCTATGTGTAGAAACATAAATCAGTACAGCCTTTTAAGAGGACAGGTTGGCAATATGTAGCAAACTGGAAAATGTTCATACTTTTCATCCCAGTAGAACCGCTGCCAGAGATTTCTCTCATGGGTACGCTCACCAAGTTCCCAGAGACTTATGTCTGAAGCTGGTCACGGAAAGGCCATTTGTGAGGACAGATCCCCCCACTCCCCCGCAGAGACAGGCTCAACCCGTCCCAATCCATCTGTACAATGGGGTCCTGCTGCTGTAGAAACGAATCCCATAGAGCCATGCGAGCTGACTCCACCCTGCTGTGAAGCCTGTGACAAAACACAGATGAGATTATCCCCCGTGTCATCACAAAAACAATAACGATACAAGCGCATAGATAGGCCTGGGGGTAAAACTATTCTGGACACTGTTAACTGGGGCTCCTTGAGTAGGAGCGGTAGTTTGGAGACTCTGATTTTGTGGTCTTCCACATTTGTTAAACTACGTGCCTATGTTATCGTCCCATCCCAGTATGTTATGATCACATATATTACATGTACATGGGGAAAGCAGGCTGACATGTGGCTGTGGGAAACCCAGTGTGGGGTTGTGAGAGGTCAGCCTGCTTCTGCGTGGCCCCGGGAATTTGCCCACAGGCCACACCTAAGACAGTAGTAGAATATTGCAGCATCGCAGCAGAGCAAAAGTGACCACAAGAGCCTAACCTTCAGTAGGGTAGTGTGGGGGCAAGCAGAGCTTGGATAATAGTTTTATTACCCTGCCTGGAGAGGGCCTGTATGCCCTGGGAAGGCTGTGGCTTTTCTGGATGCGCCCATCCCACAGAGCTCCAGAAGTTCCCACTTCTCCCCTCATTTGTGCCTTGAGACATTGGGTCACCGTCCTTGTTTTCTGTCCCACAGGAGATACCCAGGCTCCGACCGGACCATGCTGCAGAGGTGGCAGGTAGAGTGACCCCGTAGAGGACTCTAGGTCTGAGGAAACCCCGTGGGAAGGCAAATCAGGAAACAGCTCTGGCCCCAGTGATGGAAAGACAAAGCGTGTGGGGGGCTTCGGAGGGATCTTATTTTTTAACTTACCAAAATGTCCCGCATATTTCCCCACAAAGATCTCAGTGATCAAAAGTGGTCTTTGAGGCTTGGAGTCCGAGGTGGGTGGTGTGTGTGTGTGTGTACACATGCGTATGCACCTGCTCCATCCACAGACACATATGTGTAAGTGGACACAGTGTAGAGGGGCTCCAGGGTTCTCTTCTTGTTCTGAGAGGATGCTCATGATTCCCAGCTTGAATGAATGGACATTTAGCCTCTGATCCTCAGTGAAAGGCTAGGACCCCAAGAGGGCCAGTCCTAGAGATCACATGGCAACAAGAAATTAACTCCTGGTCACACTTGTCCCAAATCTTTTCCCAGCAAGAGGGCCAAGCGAGACTCAGCACGCGCATCCCCTATGAGAGGTGACAGCTGTGCTGGTCTCAGTGTCCTTTCTCCCCTTGGCCATTTTTCCCAAATACAGGCCCTGACTCCGCCTTGACTGTACATTCTAAGACCCTAAGAATGAGTGTTATCCCAACAGAGAAGGGCAGAAAAGAAAGTCCCTAATTTCCCGGAGGGAGACAGTTTGTTCAGCTTCTTGGTGAGGGCTCCTTTCTCTGTGACTGCAAGGCCCCCTTAGCTAATTTTTTTTTAATCATCAAAAGGTCAGCAGGAAGTTCACCCATAGCATTTGTGCTCTTCCTTTAATCAACTTTTGAGTATCACACCCAGCAGCTAAACAAAAGAAGACTTTATCCTTGGCTTTGGACTGCTGAGCTGTATTGTTTTTTTTCTTTGTATTTTCTTTTTTTACTGGCTGACTTTGCTTCCTGAATAGATTTGCTTCAGTTCAGGTTGAAATTAGTGGGGCCTCCCTGCTTTGGCCTGGCTTGGGTGCCAGGTGCACCGGGAACCCTGGAGGCGTGTGGGGCCTGCTCTCACCTGCACAGTGAGGGCTGCAGAGGGCTGAGAGATGGGCCCCCGTGGCCCTTAGGAAGATGCCAGTTGTGTTTGGTTTATCTCCTCTCTGTCTCTTCCGGCAGAAAAGGGACATCAGCAATTTTGAGTATCTCATGCACCTCAACACCGTGGCCGGGAGGACCTACAATGACTACATGCAGTACCCAGTGTTTCCCTGGGTCCTGGCTGACTACACCTCACAGGTATGGTAGTCACGTGGCTGCTGTTCAGATGTCCTGAGGCTTTCTGACCCTGACGACCAGAGAGTACTAAGTCAGCACACAGAGCCTCTGCTATGAGATTCGGTCCACCTGGGCCTGAGGGCTGCTCCATGTTCCAAAGGAAGACTTTGGAGTCTGGGAGCTCAGGTTCCTCTCCAGATCTACCTGTGGTAAGGTGACCTTACCTGTGGGATGATCAATATGACGAGGACAGTTGCTAACATGAGCCCCAGAGGGCTTCCTGGCTTACTCACTACTCTGAAGGCAACCGATAGCCATCTGCTGAGACACTGCCCAGTCCTGCAAGTGAAGGAGGCCATGGAATTTATTCCTGAATCAACATGTGTGGGTGAGGGGTAGATTAAAGGAGAGAGATCCAGAGACCCAGAGAGAACAAACTACTCCTCTGTATCTTGACTTCAGCCATCCAGATGTTGGTATGTGGACTTCACTCAGGATCTGGACTGAGACATGTTGGGACAGGGGTGCTGATGGCAAGGCCAGATCATTCCCTCTTTTGGCGTGTGCTCCTGGGCCTCAGCAGGTAGGAGAGGGAGGAGGAAACCTGACCCAGCCAGGCCAAGATGACATTGCTGGGAATGATCTGGCCACGCACAGTCCCAGCCACCTGGGCTCTGGCCATTAAGTGGGGTGTTGGGCTGTGTGTGTAAAGGAAAGAAGGTGGCTAAGTCCTGGTTCAGACCAGCTCTCGCCGATCCTGCCTGGGGCAGCTTGGAAGACTGACACCCAGGATTTGGGAGAAGGAGCCTCAGGCCTTTGTGACCTCCTATCCCCAGTTAAGACATTTAACACAAACTCTTCTCTCCAGCTGCACATTGCCTTTTATTTCCCTAATGATCCATCTGAGGCTGAGCTATTTCAAAAATGAAACATGCAAATCCCAGCTTTAACTCACATGTTGCAAAGGGGTGGTTTACCAGCCCCCTTTGTTTAGTCCAAAATTGTGATTACTTAACCCGTGTTTAGAAATCGGGCAATTTCTCCTAAAAATGTGGATTTCCAGTATCTTTTGGAGAATCAGGAGATGTAGCAGCCTGGAAGCCCCGTTCTGTCCTGGCAAAATCACAGGGGTCTGAGAAGGGTCTGCCTCACTCTGCTCCCACCCCTGGTTCTGCAGGTGTGGAGATGGGGAAAGGCCCTGCCTCCCCAGGGGGACTGCAGTGGTTCATGGCTAGTGAAAAGGAAAAGAAGTATTAAAAAACACTTTCTATGGGACATGAAAATCCTAGAGGATATTTGACTCCTCTGCTAACATGTAGAGCATCTCTGCTCAAAGCAAACATCTCTGAGGACACCTGGCCCTAAAAACCTCAGGTCTCCACTGCCTTATATTGTGTTCCCCAGGGCAGAGGAAGGGGTAAACTTGCATGCTGTCATTGCACAGAAGGGAGGGGCTCCAGACAAAAGAGGACGCTCCTCACATTTCCTTCCCAATCAGAAGCTTCTAGAGAGTCCGTTTGATTCCCAGTAAGGACTGTGAACTACTGGAGTATACGTCTCTCTCCACGGGGGCTGAAGCCAAGCACCTTATCCACAACAGGGATTCTTTTCAAAGTCTTTTTAGTAACTGGTGGCAATGTTCTGATTTGGGTCAACTTGGAACAGGTTTAGTGTGAACTCAATCTTCCCCTCCTCTTAGTTTCCTTCTCTCCCTTATTAAGTCTTTGTGGATCACTGGCTCTGGGGCCATAAAACCCCAGCACGCCTGCTAATCACCAGAGGGGGTCAGACCAAACGACGATAAACCAATAAAGAGAACCATAAAACTAAAGAGCGTGGCTCCTGAAGTCTCACTGGGGCACAAGAGGGTCTGAGGGGAGTTAACTCCAACCACACATCTGCCTTCTAGACATTGAACTTGACGAATCCCAAGACTTTCCGCGATCTCTCAAAGCCTATGGGGGCTCAGACCAAGGAAAGGAAGCTGAAATTCATCCAGAGGTTTAAAGAGGTTGAGAAGACTGAAGGTGGGTAGATCCCAGCTTGACTTTTTTTTTTTTTTTTTTTTCCTGCAGTGTTGCTCATTCAAGTGCCTTGACAAGGTCGTTGGTAATGATTCGGGCTCTCACCTAGCATGGACACAATTATGTTTGGATAGAAACAGCTCTAATCCTCTGGTCTGCACCTTGACTGCAGGGAAGAGTTCCCTGGGCAGGTTTTACACCTACTGATGCCCAAGCCCCACCCCTAGAGATTCTGATTTAAGTAAGGCTGTGGTGAGGCACAGGGGATACTGAGAACTACCGTGCTAAGAGCTGCTTCCTCCAGACCTAGGGCTACCAGAGGTGGAGAGCACATTCATTCAGCATTTTGTATATTCCCAGCACAGGCCAGCCCACATTCATAAATACAAGGGTCCATTTCAAAGAGAAGGGAATTAAACACGGACAGTTCAAACAATGCATTCAAGATCACAGCTTCTAAATGGCGGAGCCTGTATTTGTTGGACTCTAGAACCTACCTCCCAGTCTCTTCATCAGCACATCATTTTTATAATTTTTGCCACATTCACATGCGCTTGAATTCCTAATGCCTTAATTTTTTTTCTCTAGGTCTATTCACTTCTGAACTTTGATGAATATATTTTCAAAAGAAATTTTTCTATCATGCATTTGATGCTAGCTCTATTGGTTTTCTCAAATCCTTTAAATAAACATATAATTTAAAATAAGGAGCAGCTATCCATGAACCATGAAAATTTCCCTTGGGAACCAGAGGTCTCGTGCTTTGGAAAGGCTTACACGGCCCAGAGATGCTGCTTTTGGCGAGCAGGTTCTCAGCGGGACAGGGAGGGTCCTGCTGCATCCCGCACAGCCCCATAGAGGCCTGCACTGCGTGGGGCTGGCACTCAGACTCGCTCAGGGGAGATGGGAGGATGTAGACAGTTGGGCAGGCCCTCGTTGCCCTGCTTATCCTCCTGAGGCTGAAGTGGAATCATGAGGACCCTCCTCCGGGAACCCCCCAACCCCGCATGCTGTTCCTCTGGCTGCTGGGCGTGGCAGGACCCCTTCCACAGAGGCAGGCCACGGGAGCATGGGATCTCACCGTGCTCTCCCATCTCACCTTGGGTGTGCATTTGAGCTGCCCATTTGGGACCTTGTGCAGGTTCCTCCACCAGCCCCCGGAATAACTGGCTTAGACAGCTCCTCCATGGCACCAGGGAGGGCTTCAGGCTGTGCATGGGGCTGGCGGCAAGATGGTAAGCAGTCACCACAGGGAGCTGGTTCAGGCCTTGGCCTACTGCGCTGGAGGGATTGTAGGCACCCTGGGGCTTTCTATGTGCCCCTTAACTCAGAAGACCAAAGTCTTCCCATGAATCCTGAGTGCAGCCTTCCCAGAGCCTAACTCTGCCCACGTTCTCCGGGTAGACCACTGAGGGTCTTGAATGTGCTTCTCATCACCATGGCTACCGGCCAAATCATGACATCTGCGAGCAGAACCACGGTTACATTAGGCCTGCAGGTGCTGTCTTGAGGAGGGCTTGTGCCCGCCGCTCATGATTGAGCCTGATAGAGTCTGTGTGTCTGCAGTCTGTCCCAGCACAGGGGGACATCCATGCCAGACTTGTCCTTTCGTTGCAGGAGATATGACTGTCCAGTGTCACTACTGTACTCACTATTCCTCGGCCATCATTGTCGCCTCCTACCTGGTCCGGATGCCACCCTATACCCAGGCCTTCTGCTCTCTGCAGGTGAGCTCCCTTACACACACACACACACACACACACACACACACAAACCTCTATCTCACCGATGAACGGCTGGGCTTGGATGAAGCAGGGGTCTCCCCGCTAGCAATCCAGTCTCAGTCGGTGATTCCCACTTGATGTTGGCTCCGGGATCCTGGGTAGTCCAGCTGAGGCAGGCTGCCCATCCTCACCGACCTGTGGTGACCTGCGCGTCTGCCCAAAGGTGTTGCAGAAAGACTCCAAAAATAAGGAATGAGAGATAATAGGGGGAAACATGCATAACGTAAGTCAGTTTTCGTGGAAAAGCAGAAGGCTTGAAGACTTCCTTGAAGGTGGGTGGTCTGGAATTCGAAAAATAAACACAAAGAAGGAAGAGCCAACGAATACCACTTGTGACTTCGGAATGCAGACAGCCTCGCTAAGTGCAAGTTGAAAGGCTTAAAAGGACAAAGTACTTGAATAATGAATAGCTGAACCAGAGAAAGAAGGTGACCAACTTACCCACCCATGAACCAAGAGACCATTCATCATACCAGCCTAAGGTTGCCAGATTTCACAAATAAAAACACAGGATGCCCGGGTACATTTGAATTTCAGGTAAACAGTGAATTTTTTAGACTAAAAAATGATTTGTTGTTTATCTGAAGTTCAAATATAGCTGGGCCCCCTTCTGTCTTTCCTCAGCCCTACACAGCGTGAAGGGAGCAGGTCCTGCTCTGAGTGGGTGGTATGGCCAAGGCACATGGGGTTGCTGAGACAGGGTCCTTTGCAGGCAGTCGAGACATTTATTTTCTTTCTTTTCTTTCTGACCTTATCGCTGGGATCCTGCTTCCCAGGTTGTCCTGGGGGCCCAGCTCTCAACTGGGGAGAGCCTCTGGGTAGCCCAGTTCCAGCCAGCTCCAAAGGGAAGCAGCTCACAGTGCAAGTGCAGGGCCTGGCCAACTCCAGGGCCTTCCCAGCGTCCTACCGAGAGGAAGGCAGGAGCCACGGTGGGCAACAGGCCACGAATATGCACAGACTTACTCCAGTTATGAAGTTCAACAGAGAGAAAGTACGAGTGTTCCAGGAGTGTGGGGTTTTGGTCTGACCTCACCCAAAGGCCACTCTTTGTGGTCAGATGACCTTGGCCCTGAGAGACCAAAGGCCACGTCTGCACTAAATCCAACTCCTGAGCCCTAGGTGGGAGTGGGTAGGCAAGGTCAAGGTGATTTTTCCAATTAGGAACAAAATCCCTCCAGTCTTCTCTGTCTTGGCACAGTGTTCTCTCTCCTTAAAGGCATGGATTGTCTAGACATTGTATAACCTCCTCTCCCTGGAAATACACTCAAAAATAATAAGTGTGCTTCCCCTGAGCCTTTCTCAGGCAACAAGCATTTTAAGTAAGTTTGGTTTGGAGAACAAACGGTCCCGGAGCTCTAGCCCGTGCCAGGAATCCCATCCAGACGTTGCTCATTAATCCACAAGAAGCGATGATCGCCGTTGATGATGATGGCGATGCATTCCGTTATGGCACTCCCTCCAGGCAGCTCTGGATGCTTGAAAAGCTTTCTTTGTCCCTTCAGTCTAATGCTGTAAAGCCCCATCTCTACCTGTTACTAAAGGTCCTCTCACGTGGACAGGAGGCAGAGTGAACTTGAAACGGCATCCGCCATGAGATTTATACGCCAGATCTGCTACTTCACGGATACGGAATCTTCTGCGAGGGATCTTACCTCTGGAAATGAGGGTTGATTTTGCATAGCTTCTGGAGCTGCTGAGATTAAACGAGAAAGTGTGGGTAAAGCCCCTAGCACAGGGCTTGACACTGCATAGGCAACCGATCCTGGTCACTTCCCTTCTCCCTGCAATCAGCCAGATGGAAGCTGAGCAGGCCTGAGCTTGTTCAAGCTGGTCCGGTCTGGGCTAAGTTAATTCAAGACAGCCTGGACTGCAGAGAAGCATTCTAGGACGAGACGAGCCAGATGAAACAGGTGTGCTGCAGACCCACAAATATACTGGGTTAAGACCAACCTGAAGTTAGTCACAACGAGTCTGAGTTTTCTTTTTAGCTAGTTTGATCCACGGATGACCACACTAAACCGATTTGAGGTGGTCTGAACCAGCGCAAGATGGTCAGAACCAATTTTATCTGCTTTTGGGTGATACACATTAGCTCTGGCCCTTTAACTCCCATGCTGAAGTCTGATGTGACTCCTAGTTTTTCCTGGTTTGACTGTCTGTGGCTGTTGGCCCATCTGAGCTGAAAGCAGTTGGGTTCTCCATGTGTGCTACTTTTTACTGACTCTTCTAGCACGTCCTGAGAAAAATCCACCGTCTTCTGCTTTCTCCTTAGAATAAAAGATGAATTTTAGCTCCCAAGGGAATGCTTAAAGGGTACATCTGGGGGGAAATGAACCTGGCTCTCCTTTGGGAGTCCTGGGACCTTCACAGACCTCCTTAGGAATGTTCTGGCATCTTCCTGAAGTCAGGCTCTTTCTTTTGCCTCACCGTGCCTCCTAGGGGGCAGGTCCATTTCTTTTCTTCCTTTTTTTTTTTTTTTTTAAGATTTTATTTATTTATTTATTTGACAGACAGAGATCACAAGTAGGCAGAGAGGCAGGCAGAGAGAGAGGGGAAGCAGGCTCCCTGCTGAGCAGAGAGCCCGATGCAGGGCTCGATCCCAGGACTCTGGGATCATGACCTGAGCCGAAGGCAGAGGCTTAACCCACTGAGGCACCCACGTGCCCCAGGTCCATTTCTTCTTAATGGAACTTTGCGTCACTCCTGTCTGGTAACGAGGAAAGGAACCTCACTACAGTCTCAATAGACTAGACTTCCATTCCCCAGCATGGACCATGGGGTAGCAAAGAGTGAGAAATGTGGAGAAGATGCAGAATCCAGGAGTGAGCCCTTCTTATTTTACTTATCTGGAGAGCAGGGAACTGAGAGGATCAGATGGACCCAGAGCTGGGTGTGTTTGCAAGAGTCAGCCTGACAAAAGGCGTGCTTCTCTATTCTGCATGAAGTAAGCTCTGCCTCTTGCCTATTAGTGTGAAGGAGCCAGACTTGCTTGTTGCTCGTTCCATGGCTCAGCAGGGGGATGCACCTTTGGTGTGGAAAACCATGTGTCTAAGCCCTGCACCCGATGTGGCCCTGCGCTCTGTCGAGAGGCAGACACGGTGCCTTGGGCACGGTGGCCTGCCTAGCCCCCATGAGCTGGATGTGGACAGAAGGGGGTGCTTGCCCCGTGGCCTAGATTTGCCATGCAGCACATTCTGATCCCTGGGTGGAAGGTGTGCTATGTTGCCTTCACTTTTGCATCTTGCCAACTTTGGGCTGCTCTCGGAATGACTGCGTTCCTCTGTGGTTGCTGTGTTTGATCTTCTGCCTCGAACCGAGTATTACAATGATAGACTCTCACAGTCCAGTAGGTATGGCAGAGAGGCAGAGGTACTGCAGAGAGGCAGTGCGAGCCGAGCAGGTGACACACACAAGTCGCGGGGGATGAGATGGGAGCTGGTTATGCGCTGTCACCCCACTCTGTGGAGGCCTGAGACCGCTGTCTGCCAGAGCCGGGGGCTCAGCTCCTGGGACGCAGTCCCTCTCCGGTGTCTGGCCGGCCTGGAGCTGGTGCCTGAGAGCAGCCAGGAGGCCGCACCGCTGCTGGGGCCACAGCCCGCCCCCCTGCCCCATTTCCGCCCCAGCAGGAGCACCAGTGGCCATGAGGCCCACGAGGAGACTGGCCTGGGCAGGGCAGAGCGAGGCAGCAGCGCCCCAGCGAGGGCACAGTGGCCGTGCTGCTGCAGCTGCTGTTACATTTAATCAGAAGCTGAAATAAAGTGCTGTGTTAATTAAGTCGCAGCCCGTGTGACGGCAGCTGTTACCAGCAGTGGGAAAGGGTTTTCCGAACCACCTGAGGCGCGATGGCTGGTTTTCGTGTAAGACAGATGCTCACTGCAGAGAGAACGGAGAGCCGCCCGGGTGGTCCACGTGGGGGCTCCGTGGGTGACAGGCCACCGGTCTGGGAGGAGCTGTGTCCAAAACAAAGGCACAGTTATCATTATGCTGACTCAACAAGGAGCATTTGGAAAGGCTCGTGTAATAGAGACAGGCGGACCTGAGTCAAAGTCCTGGCTCTAAAACTTTCTCATGGGTAGTATTGAATCACCAAGCTTCCATTCCTCCTTTAAAATACTCCCTGCCTCAGTAGGTGGTAAAGATGGGGTGAGTTACAGCAGGGGAGCCCTTTGGCTGGTTTCTAAATGCTCCATATTTGTCCACTGTCCTCCCTGTAAGAGTGGACAGCAGGCTTTTCAAAACTTTTGTGGGTTTTGTCTGTTGAGTAAAGGGCCACATCCTCCAGGAAGAAAAGCAAATGGCTACGCTGGGGGAGGCCCACCCTGCATTGAGAACAAGACCGACAAGGCAGCCCAGCTGGTACACGGGCTTCCCAAATTCTTGTCGGGCCGACAGCCCAGCTGGCTGAGTGGGATGTCAGAGCCTGGATGTTTCTGAAGAAGCCCGCAGAAGGCCGAGCCTGGCTCTTTCCTCAGCTGCACACGTTGGCCCCGCCATTTCTTGGGTGGTGATGGGGTCTCAAAATTGACCAGTTGATGCGCTAGCTCTTTTGTTCCCCGTCCCAGACCCCACCCCTGCTCACTTGCCCCCAGACCCCACCTTCTGCTTCCAGGAACTTTTATTCATTTATTTTTTTAGGTATGTATGTATTTTTTAAAATTTAATTTTATTTTTTTCAGTGTTCCAAGATTCATGGTTTATGCACCACACCCAGCGCTTCCAGGAACTTTTAAATTCTTTTTTTTTTTCTTCTTCAGAGCCCCTGATTACCTTCCCCCATGTATCTGAGGTCGGGGCCCCAGCCCAGGATTGCTCCTCCATTCCCACTCTGCAAAGGGTCAGGGGCGTCGGGGCAGAGTCCTCGGGGCATCTCTTTCTGTCCACCTGGCACTGAAGGAGGTACCTCACACACACGTGCGCACACATGCACACTCACACTCACATGCTAACCCATGTTTGCACGCCCACAACGGTAACCCCAGGTGGCAGAGTAGAGTGTGGGAAACATTAAGACTTTAAGAAACTCCCTGGTGGGAAACATTAAGACTTTTAAGAAACTCCCTGGTGTTCACACTGCCAGGAGGGCAGAAACCCCCATGCCGGTCCACCCAGTTGCCCAGCTGGGGCGCCCTCTCCTCTCGCTGACACACCCTCTTTCACGGACAGAGGACAGCAGCTTAGAGGACCCACGCACACAGGGTCCTGTGAGTGGATTGGTTACATGGGATACTTGTAAATTACCGGAAAAACCATCTTCCAGGAGAATGGGTTGTCAGCCTGCTCATAAAACCAATCCCATACTTGGATGTAGTGGTGGGTTGACTCAGGTCAGTCCCACAGGAAAGGAAGACTAGACTTTCTAGCACATAGTGTGCAAATCTCTGTGTTTAAGGGTCCTTGAGCGCATGTAGTTGCTGTACTCCCTGCGGGTCTTGGTCAAGAATTGAATGGATTTTTTTTCAGCATAGTTTCCCCGCCCACACTGGAGAGGGGTTTAAGAATGTCTGTCCCTCTTGAAATGCTTACCCAGGGACACAGGGGCACACAAGAGATGTGCCTTTACTACAGAACACTCCTTTCAAGACCATTTCCAGTTTTAATAGACGTACCACAATCACAAACTTTCTTCTAATCTGAACTCCTGTCATGTCTGGCAGAAGTCCTAATTGACCATTTCTCTCCCCATTATTTTGATTTTAATTTTGATTCATCTCTTTGCAAAATTTTATACCCCTTGGAAGTATTTTAATTGAGGAAGGATACCTAGAGTTATATTGTTTGTGAGCCCTTAAATATTCAGAATATCTTTCTGGCTTCTTCATGAAGGAGTGATATCATTTAGAAGTAAAATCCAGCTCCTCTACCTTTTGCCTCCGAAACCTCCAGCCTTGGCTGCCTTGTCTTCTAGCTCTTTAGCGTCACATGGAAAAAGTTTTCTGCCAATGAGAGGTTGTTCCTTTGTTGATAATAATAATGATCATCATCTTACTATTGCTTTTTTCAGCATGTCGGATACACATAGGATTCATTGCTCTTGATACTCAAGGATGCGCCGATATGCAGAATAGATTTAGGAGTAAAATCTTGGCTCCGTAATTCTCTCCAATCATTTGGTTTCCACCCAGTCTATATACTTAATTTTGTTGTTGCTTTATTTTATTTTGTTTTGGACTTTCCTCGTGGCAGGGCTCTACAGACCTTCATTGTGCCTCCCTGCCTCGCTCCTTCTCTCCCTTCCTTTTCTCTGTCTTCTCTTCCTTTTCTCCTTCCTTCCTTTCCTGAGAATCGAGTCATGGCTGAGACTCCTTGCTGGCGGCCCCCGGATTCCGTGTCCACGCACAGACTTACAGTACAAGCAATAGAACAGCTCCACTTTTTCTTCTAGGGAATTTGGCTTTTCTTTTGTATTGCAGAGGTGAGAAAACCCATTAATTTTGAAACAAATGTATGCAAATACATTTATTAATATAGGAAATAGGAAAATCAGTTATTGCTTCCTTTATAAATAATACAGGCTTAAGTTTTAAAGATATTACTTTTGCTAAAATGCATTAGACAGCTGTGAAAAAAATAACATTTTTCTTTGTGGTAATATCTTTAACCAGATTTGTAGCACTAACAATATTTCCTATGTATATATTATTTTTATTTAATACAGGTAATCTTTTTATTACCAAATCATATTGTTTCTCAGGAGATTACCATCAGTACTCATAAAAGCTGCAAAAGGAATCCAGGAGGACGAGAAGGCATCAATCTCCTGCAGATGTAAGGCTCGGGCTGCAGATTAAATATGCAAAGCTCTTAATATGTTTCAATGAGCCACTTGTTAGGTGCAGATTTATTTAAAAACTCTCCCCCTATTTTGTTTCCATTTCCATTTGAATCTGATGGTGGGCAGCATCCCCTAATTTCAACACAAGAGCAAAGTGACCTTGGAGAAAAGCCACAACCTTAAGCTGCCCAGGTAGTGTATTCTGTTGCAGCTCTGCTGTAACTGGCTTTCTCGGTGTCCTGTCCATGTCCGTGTTCAGAGAACGACCCATGGGCCTTCCTGGATCCTCAGGTCTGACTCGGAAAACTGACCAGCCCACCAAGATGTCCAGATGGGGTCTGCCTCAGGCGAGTGGCAGATTCTGCCTTTGCAGAAAGAGCTGAGACTCCTCGCCCCACACGTTAGGAGATCACATTTGCCTCAGGCCCAGGGAATCACCCCAGTAAGCTGGCACAAGGGCAAAGAAGGCATGTCCGTTGGAGGAGCATCCGTGGGATTGACCCAGTTCTGCCACTGGTTGCTTTGATAGCCTTGGGGAATCCAGGGCACTCTGAGGACCTTCAGTTTTCTGGTCTGCAGAATGGAAGTGGACTTCCTTCCTGACACCCCTGCTGTGAGGATCAGGAGTCAACATCTCCATATAAAGTGTCTAACATGGGGCAGACTTGCCAAGGGGAGGCTGTGGCCCTTCTTTACCCCTCATCTACTCCTGCAGCTGCCCCAAAGCTTCCTTAGGTAAATGCTGAAGAGACCTCAGTCCCCGAGAAGTGAAGGGAGTGCAGAGAAGTGAAGAGAAGCTGGCGGGTGCAGAGGAGAGCACTACCCATTTGTTCTCAGGCCACAAGAACCCTGCAGAAGTTGGCAGAAGGAGGACAAGTTCTGATTGAACGAAGGCCCAGCCTTAATGGGGACAAGAGAAGTATCCAGTCCCGGGCAGGTATTTTGGGGATGTCCCCAAACTTAAGTAGAACCAGAGCCCCACTTCAGAACCTCTTTCCTGAAGTCCGTCTGCCCCCAGCATTGTCATTCCTCCAACCAGACCTTTTTTCCTCCGCTCAGCCCTCAAGGCCACCTGATAAATAAGGGTAGCATCAACTAAAGATATTTGATGACTCAGATGAGAGGAGCAGAGCACCCAAAGAAAGAATTTTTTAAGTCTTACCTGGTGCAATCCTAGCTGCCAGGCTTGGGACGCATCAGGCCACTTGTGGAAATGGGAGTTGGAACCGGGGCAGTCCTTGGAGATCGTGTAGACATCTTATCTTCATGGACCAACTTCCTGTCTCCCGGAGGCTGGTGTCCCTCCAGATCTTCATCCTCAGACCTGTTCTCTCTTGTAAGGCTGCACTGTTAGATGTCAGCAGGGCCCTGACCCAGCCTGCTTCCTTCTGCTTCTGTTCCCGGCCTTCGCCTTGCTTCTGCTCAGAACACTCTGCCTTCTTCTATGTCACCAAGCTTGCAAACTCACCAGGGGTCCACTTCTCTAGAAAACGTGCCCTGATCCCACATGACATGGCTGACCCGCTCTCTGTCCTGTAGAGGGTTCTTTCTGTGTGTCCTGTCCGTGTGTGATTCAGAGTGGGCCCTTAGCACATGTGGGGAATGGACAGATGAATCACTCTGCTTTTCCTGTCTCTGATCTGAGCCTGGATTTCTGAAATGGAGAATGAACAGTGCGTCACGTATCCTCTGGGGAAGCCTCGGGGAAAGGGTCCAGAGAACGGTCGAGTGAACAGAGGCACGAGAAACCATGTCACGCACATGTGGAGCGGTGAACGAACGTGTGTGGGAGTGAATGGAAAGAAAGCTCTGATGGCGGAAGCCGTGCCTCAGTGGCCGTGGGCGAGGAGAGGCCCACCCGGGCCTGCATGTCTTTCTCGCTACCGGTGATCACATGGGCTCCCTTTCCTCACAGGGTGGAAGCTTTGATGTGGCAGACAGAATGTTCCACAGTGTGAAGAATGCGTGGGAGTCGGCCTCTAGGGAGAACATGAGTGACGTCAGGGAGCTGACTCCAGAGTTCTTCTACCTGCCCGAGTTCCTCGTCAACTGCAACGCCGTGGAGTTTGGTGCGTGGAGGCTGTGGTGCGGCCAGGGTGGGCTGGGCAGGGGAGGGATCGCTCCCCCAAAGCTCAGGTAGTGACCAACTTCATCAATAACTTTGTTGTGCACCTAAATGAAGAGACCCTTCACCAAACCAGTGTGGTCGTTGTGAGGTCTCCCCTCGATGGTGGCCTTCAGTGGTGAGGTGGGAGCCAAGGAAGGACTTGAGGCCCCCGGCTGCCAGGATGTCTCTGAGGCACGGTCCCATCCATCCTGTGAGGGTCCCCAGGCCTCAGTCTGCAGTGAGAAGCCCTGCTAACAACCAGGTCTATCCTGGCCCACTGCATGACCTGGGCAAACCCCCACCCCTCTGTGGCCTCGTTTTCCTCCGTGGCCCACGAACAGGTTAAGCTGGGCTCTGAGACCCAGAGAAGCTGGGTCTCCTGGGAGAGATTGCTTACCGGATAGTGTCTAAGGGTGGTGGTATGGGGACGCTGGTGGCTCTTCCTCTTTCCTGTGCTTCCGGCTCCACCCCAGGATGAACTATGCCATCTCCCTGGTTTAGAGGAGGAACAACAATTTGAGGACACCCCCGTGAGCAGGTCCCCCAGTGACCGTGTGTGTACCTTGGTAGCCTCCGCTGCAAATGTCAGGGTGACTTGTGGAAGGGGCTGTGTGGTCAGAGCCTGAGGCAGGGTGTGGGCCCCTGCACCCCCCGAGGAAGGGAGATGGGATCCCTCACCTGGCAGGGGGCACTCATGAACTGTCACCAGCATACACCTGCACCCCAGAGCTCCCCTTCCTCGGGACCCTCCTTCCTCCAAACAGCCCACAGGGGCACCTTTTTAGGCACTGGGAATTTATTTGGGGCTCCTGGAATAGACTGCCCTGAAGGTGTTTACATTCTGTACAGGCATGGAGGAAGGGGAGAGAACATATAAACATATTTATATAAGTGAAATTCTATCTGATGCTGAGAATTGAGGACAGAAGGTAGGAAAATGGCTCAAGAGTGATTCAGAGGGCACTGTGTTATTCTGATCTCCAGGAGGGACAGCCTGAGTTGGTGACAGGGGAGCTGAGGCTGGCTGGTAAAGGAGCCACATGAGGCACAAACCTGCAGGCCAGAGAGAAGCGGGGAAGGTTTTATTTAGTTGTACCTTGAAGGCTCTGGAGGGTTTAAGCAAGACCACAACCACTGTTTATCGGGCAACCATCATATGCCTGGAGTTTTTCTAAGCACATTATGCGTATTTCTCTTTTCATCCTTCTATCAGCCCCCTCCCCCGGGGGGGTGGGTAACAGGTAGAAAAAGTGAGCCCCAAAGAGATTAAGCAATATGCCCAAGGTTGTGCAGCTAATGGGTAGGAGAGAGACTTGGGCTTGGATCCAGACTCATTCTATTGTCTGGGGAAGCTGCCTCTAAAAACCTTGCTGTCCTCAGTTTAAAAATGGAGAGAAAATACATAAATTATAGAGTTAAATGAAGATTCAATAAGATGATGTGTGCCAAGCACCTAGCATAGAGCCCTGGCATAGTTAGGTGCTCAAAATACAATAGCTTTTACTGTTACTGTGATTATCTCCCTACTGCTCTAGCCCCGAATAGAAAGCCCCTGGATAAAAAGGCACAGAACGGTAGGGAGGAAGACAAACAATGACCACACCACTGCCATTTTATAGGCAGTTTGTGAATCAAACACAAACCTGCCTGGGAAGCAAGGAGGGCCTTGTGGAGGGTGGAAGGCTTAGAGACCAAGTAAGAATATTCCAGGCAGATGAGTGGGGGATGCAACAGACAGAAGCAGCAGCAAGTAGTGAGGCCTGTGCAGGACACAGCTCTTAGCCTGATCTGCCTGGAATCAGAAGTCCTAGACAGGACAGTGTGTATCCCGCCCTGGTTCCTAGCCCAGTTTGGGCTCCCATTCACCTAAAGCCCTGCTGTTTCTCACCCCACTCAGGCTGCATGCAGGACGGGACAGCACTGGGAGATGTGCAGCTCCCTCCCTGGGCTGATGGGGACCCTCGGAAATTCATCAGCCTGCACAGACAGGTGAGTTGAGCAGGGTCACAGCAGAGGCCCTGCATCCTGAATGAAGACTGTAGTATCTTCACTCTCCACGGAGGCTTTCTGTGTGAGCAGAGGGCTAGTGACAAATGTTTCTGAGGCTCTTATGTCTAGAGAGCCCAGAAAAGGTGCTGGGCTCCATTCTACAGGTTAACAGGAAAAAGTTCATGTTGTGGGCTCTTCCAAGAGTTCCATTAGATTCTGTCCTTGTGCCAGTTTGTTGTGGGAATCACTGGGAGAAATTAATTCAGTTTCTTTTTGGATCACCTGGGTCAAGTCAGTGTCTTTAGCTGGCCCTATAGTCAGGGCCATGACTGGGCCTTACTGCTCTATAAAGCTCATAGAAGGGCTGTAGACCCTGAGGGGCTCCTTTTGGCCAAAGGATTTGCCAGGACTGGGGAATACTTGGCTTCTCAGCCAGAGAGGTTGATGTGGTAGAAGCCATTTTGGGACACATACACGCATTAGCATAAACCACAAAAATATACGTGATAATATCATTAGTCATCAGGGAAACATAAATTAAAATCACGGGAGATGACATTACATACTCACAAGAGTGGCTAAAATTTTTAAATATGACAAAACCAAGAGTAAGCAAGAATACGGAGCAATCAGAGTTCATTACACATTGTTGGTAGGAAAATGAAATGGAAAAGTCACTTAGGAAAAAACTTAGTAGTTTCTTACAAAGTTGAAGAAGAATTTACCTTATCACCCAGCAATCCCCCTTGCGTATATTGACTGAAGAGAAATAAAGATATGTCCATGGAAAAGCATGCACAAAAATATGCACCTGTTTTATTCAGACCAATCAAAAACTGAAAACAACCCAAATGTCCAGCAACTGGTAATGGATTAACAAATGATTCATCCACACAATGGAATACTATGAAGCAATAAAAAGAAAGAGATTACTGATACATGGAGCAACATGAATTAATGCCAAAAGCATTATCGTAAGCAAAAGAAGCCAAAACTCAAAGCTACATACTAGAGGATTCTATTTATATGACATTCTGGAAAAGGTATAATTATGGGGACAGATAGTCGATCAGTAGTTACTAAGGTCTGGAGTAGGGAATGATGGAAAAGGAGTACAAGAGAATATTTTGAGTTGATGTAAATGTCCTATGTCTCGGTTGTGGTGGTGGTTACATGACTACATTCCTTTGTCAGAACACATTGAACTGTATATTTTAAAAGGGTGAATTTTATTATGTGTAAATTATATCTAAAAAGAAAAAAAAATCTGGGGTGGGCCTGGCTAGTAAAAACAAAGTTGGACTCTTTCCTGTGTCCTTCTCCCTTGCCAAGGAGAAAAGTCTTCCCTGGTTTATCCTTGCCTCTGAAAGTGTAGTAATGGTAGGCATCTTTCCCACAACACACTGGTCTTGAATAGCTGGACCAGAGGTGAACTTAACCTTCAGGTAACAGCAGCCTTCTGCCAAAATGTTCTCAGAAAAAGTTGTTGACATGGGCTGAGTGAGCAGATTCACTCTACAGGACTGACTGCAGATGCCGGTGGTCTAGTTGGGAGGCAGCTTGATTATATAACCACACAAATAACAGAGAAATTATAACTGCACAAAGTGCTACAAAGGAGAGAAATTCAATGCCATCAGATATAGGTTAGAGGTGAGACCCATGGGACCTAGGTGATGACAACAGCGGGGAGACATCTTCTGGTAGAGTAAAGATTAGGTTGGAGTGGATTAAGGTGTTCATGATCAACATCAGTGAAAATATCAGAGTAGGAATCTCTGAAAATCCTCTACTCCATAAAAGCAATAAGAATAATGGCAAAGATTATCATTTAAAAAAAAAAAAACCCTCCAGAACTCTGGAAATTAACCAGAGGCTTAGAAAAATCAGGGGAGTGTTCCTTTGAGAAAAATGGCTGAATCTTTATAAGAACAGCAAGATTTGGGTTGTTTTAATTTACACTCTTCTCATTTCTCCTCATCTCTGTAGTAGTTTTGAAAACCAACAGCCCACAATAACAGTCAAAACCAAGAGCCTAACAGTCATTGGAGGGTGAAGAATGGGTTTGGAGCTCCTTCAAAGCCCCATACCCAGAGAACTGTCATTAGTTGACCTGTTAATGTTTCCCTGAATGTCCCCACCAGCAAGGCTTTTCTTCAGTGACCTTTGTGAAAAAACAAACCAGAGACAATTGTTTGACACTGTGGCTGCCAGAGGCAGTGGATATAATTGGGCAAACAACAGACTAACCAAAAAGCTTAAATAGAAAAATTAGAGAATGAGATATTTATTAGGAGGCCTTGAAAAAAACTTCAAAATATCTCTGGAATCTAGAAGGACACACACAACTGTAGGGATACTTTCATGTGCAAGGCTGTGTTCATGCTCTTAAGGTCCTAAGCTTCACTTCAGGCTGACATTGAGGCTCTGTGCAAGCAAGATAGGAGGTAAAGGCAGAGTTTTTATCAGGCAGTTGCTGCCTAGCTGAGCACTGAAGCTTTGGGCTAACATGCACACAAAGCCCTTCCCGGGGAAAGACTGGAATGCTAATTGGTTCTAGGCATTTAAAGAAATCTTCATCCAATCATAAGATGATCATTAAGCTAACAGAGCAGAAATTTTAGTGGCCACATACAATAACAACAAAAATACAGACCTTATAGAACTAGTTCAGAAAAGTCCTAAATAAACCAGCCAGCAAACAACAATAACAAACAATAAAGCAACAACAAACCCTGGGGAGAGGGAAAAATCTGATTTCCAGAGTTGATACATCATATTATCTAAAATGCCCAGTTTTCTACAAAAATTATGAGACATGTAAAAAAAAAGAAAGTATGGCTCATAATGGGGGGAAAAAGCAGTCAGTAGGATTACCTCTGAGGAAGCCTAACCTTTGGACTTACTAGACAAAGACTTTAAATCAGCTATTGTGAATATGTACAAAGCATTAAATAAAACCATGTTTAAAGATTGAAAGGAGAGTATAACAATGAGAAAAGATATATAAAGAGATAGAAATTATGCAAAGGAACCAAATAGAAGTTGTGGAGCTGAGAATTACAGTAACTGAGATGAAAAATTCACTAAAAGAGATCAATAGCAGGCAGAAGAAAGAATCAACAAACTTGGAAGATAGGTCAATTGAGATTATCCAATCTGGGAAACAGGAAGAAATGAGTGAAGAAAAATGAACAGAATATATGCATCTGTAGAACACCATCAAACATACCAACATACACAAATTGAAAGTACCAGAAAGAGAGGAGAGAAAGGTACAGAAAGAATATTTAAAGAAATAATGTTCAAAATATCCCAATTTTGATGCCAAGTATTAATTTATACATTGAAGACACTCCGTAAATTCCAAGTAGGATAAACTCAAAAAGATCTATATTTAGACACATCATAAATTGTCAGAAAGGAAAGTCAAAGGAAGAATCTTGAAAGCAACAAAAACAACTCATCACTTAAAAGGTATCTTCAATAAGACTAACAGTTAATATTTCATCAAAAATAGAAGTGGGGCACCTGGGTGGCTCAGTTGGATGGGCATCTGTGTTTGGCTCAGGTCATGATTCCAGAGTCCTGGGATTGAGCTCTGCAATAGGATCCTTGCTCAGTGGAGAGTCTGCTTATCCGTCTGCCTCTGCCCCTACACACCTTATGCTCTCCCACTCATGCTCTCTCTCTCTAATAAAGAAATATATTCTTTTCAAAAAAAAAACACAGAAGGAAGAAGGCAGTGGTATGAAATATTCAAAGTGCTGAAAGACTATCAACCAAGAATTTTATAGCCAGCAAAACTATTCTTTGATAATGAAGAAATTAAGACCCTCTGAGACATATAAAACTAAAAGAATTTATCATTAGCAGACCTGCCCTATAAGAAACACTAAAGGGAGTTCTTCATGCTAAAATAAGACAGTAACTCAAGTCCACATGAAGAAATAAAGGAGGTGAATGATAATAGGGAAACAGAAATGGTACGGTGGGAAGAGACAATACACATCAAACCCCAAGCCAGTGCCTGGGACATAGAAAGTGCACAGTGCAATCATTGTAGCTAACATTAATTACATGGAGTTCACTGTGTACCAGGCATGGACACAAACCTAACCTCACATAATTCCACAAAGAAGGTACAATTACTGTCCCCATTTCATAGATGAAGATGAAGGAACTGAGAAACAGAGGTATTAAGGAATGATCATGGCAGTGCTGGGGTCCAGCTGGCTCCACAGCATGTTCTCTTAACCGCGACACTTAATCTCAACCTCCTGACATTTCTGGTCAGAATCAGCTCTCACTTTTTCTTATATCGATCTCAATAGGACCCCAAGACTTTATTTTCAGTCTTCCATTTAGATATCACTACAAGACATAGATATTTTGAACCTCATGATTATAGCATGGAGTGAATGAGCTAGGGTGATGGCAGCAGTCAGATCCGTTTTCCCACGAGCTGGAGGCAGGAATGGGATGGTCATTGGGTTGCCCGCATGTCCACCCACTTAGTGCTCATCAAGCTCAGTGAGATGTCACACGTTTCCTGTGCAGAGACAGCATCCTGAGGCATATGCCCCCCTCCTGATCTGTGCAGAGGGCTCACAAGTCCAAGAGAGGCCTTCATTTTTCATGCTCTTTCGGTTTTGGTTCTAGGCTCTGGAAAGTGATTTTGTCAGTGCCAACCTCCACCACTGGATAGACCTCATCTTTGGGTATAAGCAGCAGGGGTCAGCTGCAGTGGAATCTGTTAATACCTTCCACCCCTACTTCTATGGTGACAAAGTGGACCTCAGCAGCATCAGTGACCCCTTGATCAGGAGCACCATCCTTGGGTTTGTCAGCAACTTTGGACAGGTGCCCAAACAGGTACATCATCTATGTTCTGGGTCTTGCTTTCTCAAGAGTGTGTGCATTGTGAGCTTGGGAGTGACTGAAGACATTTTCTCCTGGAGAGGACCAAGAGAGCACTGGGGAGGGGAAATGGTCTTCCTATAACCCTCAACATCAGGGATTACTCCTCTGTTACCATCTGATGGTGATGAACATGATGATGTCATTAATGATAATGGTGAGGACTACCTTTCCCTGTGGGATATGTGATGGAAACTATAGTAAATCCATAGGATTTAATTGTCTATATGGGTGTCTATGCTGCACAGTTACTGTGCAGAGCCAACGAATGGAGACATCAAATGCTCAAAAGTGACTGAAATATGACGGGCCTTCTGCAAATGTTAGTTACTAGTATGATTCCCTCATTGAATCCCCTCCTAAGCTCTGGGTATAGGGATTATTCTTTTACAGATCAGGAAGCTGAGGCTCAGGGAGGTTGAATACATAACTGGCCCACAATTATACTTCAGCAGATGCCAGAGGTAGAGCTCTACCCCCACCTGGCTGGCCCCACAACCACTGCCATGTCACCAGCAGTGGGAGACTATCTCCCAGGGCCCCTGGTGAAGTTGCTGGGGTCTCATATTGGCCTTTTTCTCCACTGGCTCCATCCCACATCAGGATAATCATGTAGTAATATGAGGCTGTGTGTTCATGGGCATGTCCTGGTGAATAGTGGGCAAGAGGAGTGCTTAGTTAGCTGATCCCAGCCTGGTTGGCCCTCAAACTTCAGTTCAGCATGGAAAAGTATTATTCCTAAGGATATCCATCTGGGCTACTAGCATGGCCCCATGGGCTGGGGTCTCAGCCTGGGCAGTCAGGAGCCATGCTGGGAAATGAGTGCATAGGCCCAGCCAATTCCAGGGCCATCTTGGGCAGCAGCCTTCCCCACGTGTAACCATGAGGCTTGGAAAGGCTCATCTAATAGTGCAAAATTAGTAACGTCTTTTCTGCCTGGTCTTGTATACCATGCTGCAGGTTTGCTCTGCTCCCAGGGGAGGGCAATGTGAAAAGTGCCTAAGGGTGACTTGGAGAATGAACCGTGCCTTTAAAATGTGGGTTTGGCCAAGGAACACTTTGTAGGAAGGAGGGAATTTCAGGAAAGAAGCTTGGGTAGCCTAATGGTTTCGTTTTTTTTTTTTTAAGAAGTGAAATAATCCAGATAAAGCAATTAAATCAAAATAGTAGTCTCCCCCAACCAATTGTTTCCTGAGTTGTGTCATTGTCCTTGTCCAAAAGCAAAAGATATTTTCACATCCATATGCTCGGAAAGTGCACACAATTTTAGATTCTGATTTCATTTAGTGATGTAGCCTATGAGCTTTTACAAAGATATTTCTAAGTAATTATCAGAATTAGAATTCTTGTAGTGGTCCCAACTAGAGGCAGGATTAAAATACTTCAAGGACCGTGCACTTGCCATCAATGGGCTCTGCGTGCTGAGGCTGTGACAGGCCTCTGGCCTGTGGTGCTTTAGTCATCCTGCTTGCCAGGAGGGACGTTCTTTATTTAATGCTCAGTTTAAAGTCCCCGTTCTGATTTCTGTTTGCATTGATCACTCACCTGGCTTTACTAGGTGGACCACTATCTGATCGAGGCCTGTCACTGAGCCTAGGCTGCTGTGAGAAGCCCCCCCACCCCACCCCAGCTGCTTGCTGAGCCTTGCCTCTGCCCCTGTGCCCAGCTGGGGTCAGCTCTCACCCCTCCATTGTGGCACCCAGGGGATGTTTCCATCGAGGAGCAGAAGCGTGGGCCTGATGACTGGAAAACACGGCCTCGTTGGGGAGGGGAATGTGGCGAGGTGGCCTCGGCTGCCCTCTGTGGCAGCAGCAAGATTCTGCCAGCAGCATGGCCTTGCACTTCACGTGTTGCCTGGTTATGCAGAAAGTTTGGCATTAGGGACAATTTGACAGCAGAGATCTAAGAAAAATGAAAATTTAAAAAGGCCACTAATGGGGGTTGCCTGTGCTCTTTGGAATGTTTGAATGGATGCCCAGACGGATGCTCCTGCAGAGAGTTTGTAAGGGAAAGGAGGAAAAAAGATATATGAGAAATAACTCAAGCAAATGAAGAGAGACATGTGATCTAGAGAGGAAAGGGGGTCATTCTGAGCCCATTATAGGAGAGGCAGCTCTGCCGGGGACCAGGGCTCCTCAGGTTGGTCATCCTGCTCCCAGGCAGCATGGGGAAGATGACAGTTGGCAGCCAGGAGGGCTTTTTCCGCTAGTCCAACGCTAGGAGCTGGAGAAAGGAGCTGCCCCCCTCTGAGCCCCAGGCCCCTCACCTGCACCCACCGAGGGCTAATCCAGAGAGTCCTGTTCATGCTCATCTCAGTCAGGAGCAAGCCCAGCTCAGGCAGCACTCAGAGCAGAGCGGCCGCGCCACTTACATGGGGACGCCGCCGCTGCCACCCCCGGCCATCTGTCCTTAATGACTTACGTGGTCTGCGTCTGTCCCCTGTCTCTCCAGCTCTTTACAAAACCCCACCCAGCCAGGACTGCTGCGGGCAAGCCTTCACCTGGAAAGGATGTCGCCCTGCCTGGGAGCCTGCCCAGCCACCCGCAGCCCTTCTTCTACAACCTGCAGGCACTGAAGCCCTCCCAGGTCACAGTCAAAGGTGACTACCTGGTCTTGCTTTATTTGGCGCCCTGCCCCAGAGTTGTCCCTTCAGTGACTGTTGTTCCTTTGGAGGTTCAGGGGCACAGACCCTTCAGGATCTTGGGGTCTGACTTGACATGGCTATGTCTCTAGTCACAAAAGGGATCTGGGGAGGTGTGCTCCAGAAATGTCCAGAACCACCTCTGTTAGATCCTGACAGACTTACCTATCTTTCAGTCTGAGACACACTTTCCTCTCTTTCATATATCTCTTTCGCGCATACGTGCACACACACACACACACACACCTCTTTCTCCCTCTCTCTCTCTTTCCTGCGCACATACACCCCTCCTCACCTCCAAAGCCAAGCGAGGAATTCCCAGATTCCCTGAGGGAGGGTTGCAGCCTCTGCTTCTTGGTGCTTGTGGTCACAGTTGCTCCTGAGCCCCCGGGTGGGCCTTGTAGCCCTTAGGCAGGATCATCTGTCCTGGGCAGATGGCCCAGTGGGAGTTCCAGCCCGGCTGCTTCCTAGAGACACGGTGCGTGTGAGGTCTGATGTCTGCGCCACCTGCGGGCTGCTCGGCTTTGGGGAACTCGCACTACGTGGGGCAACATTCTGGACTTGTATTAAGGACTATAAGGTTGGGTTTGTTGGGGTTTTGTGATGTGTCTTTTTTTTTTCCCTTCAAATCCAAGAACAGGGTCTTTGGCACACCCCGCCCCACTAGATAAGGTGTCTGGGAGGGGCAGGAAAGGCAGAGCCCCCAAGGCTCCTGTGGCTTTGTGCCATCACCCAGACAGCCTCAGCCACTGCTCCCCTGGCATCAGCCCTTAGAGACACTGAAGACCTGCATGGCCACATGCGAGCTTCATGTATGTGTGAAAGCAGGGGACGACCTGAGGCCTAGGGCACCCAGTTTGGGACCAGGGTTTAACACGAGTGAGGCCCTCGAGGGACATGCCCTGGTGAGCCAGCGGCGCCTGCCCAGGCTGGTGCTTTGCCAAGGCTGGGTCACCTACCACAGCTCCTCTCTGGGCCCAGTGACAGCAGGTCTTGTCCTTTGGTGTGTAAGCTCCACCATACTAACTGGGGGGTAGATATGTACCTTTTCTCTCTAGGCTCCGAATCCCCCAAAGGAGCCATTGGCCACATCGTCCCCACCGAGAAAAGCATCCTGGCCGTGGAGAGGAACAAGGTGCTGCTGCCTCCTCTCGGGAACAGGACCTTCAGCTGGGGCTTTGACGACTTCAGCTGCTGTCTGGGGAACTACGGCTCTGACAAGGTGGATGGGCGTGGGGCGCAGCCACAGGCTCAGGGTCTCGGCCTCCATCTGCTGGGGCAGAGGTGGTCAGGAGACAGGCCGGCCCAAATCAGGCACAGCTGCCCACACCCCACCACCTCCATGCGGCTGTGCCCCCTGCTTGGGAGGGAAGAGTGTTGTACGGCTGGGCTCAGGGCCCTCGGGGCCAAGCCTCCAGCCTGGGTTCCAAGGAGTGGAGCGTGCAAGTTCTCAGTGCACACTGTCACCTCAGAGCAGTCTCTGTCACCACCTGGTCACTCAGACTCTCACTCAGCCTGGCTGGGAAGTCAGGGTTCCTCTGGCCCCAGTCATGGCTCCCAGTCAAAGGACAGTCACTGGGCATTCAGCTGGTGCCAGAAGCTAACCATCTGGCTAGTCTTCTTCCACCCTTACCTCGGCCCACCCAGCGAGCTCACTTCTTGCTGTGGCCCTGGCAGCCTCCCAGGCTCCTTGCCTCCCCGATCTCCCCTCCCTCCCTAATTCCCACCCACCGATCACATGCATGAACTCCCTGCCCACCAAGCCCTCTCTCCCCACCCCTAGCCTTCCCTACCACTTCCTGAGGCAGCCAGAAACCAGTCCCAGATGTCAGTCCCTCCTGAAAGCTGTCCCTGACCACCTCAGGCTGTCGTTGGCCTTCCCCACTCCCTAGAGTATGAGCTCCCTGGGGATAGGCTTGAACTGCCTGGATTTTGTCACCAGAGCCAGCCTCCCGAACAAGTGACATGCCCCCCAGTTCCCGTGGCACATAGACAGGGCAGCAGTATCCAGATCTGCCCTTGTCCCTCTGTCACCCTGTCCGGGCTCCCAGCCCTGTGCTGGCCAAGGGCACCAGTGCTCATCCCACTTGTATCTTCTAGATTCTAATGACGTTCGAGAACCTGGCTGCCTGGGGCCGCTGTCTGTGTACCGTGTGCCCGGCCCCCACCATGATCATCACCTCTGGGGCCAGCGCCGTGGTGTGTGTGTGGGAGCTCAGCATAGCCAAAGGCCGCCCAAGAAGCCTGCACCTCAGGAAGGTATGGTGCCTTAGGCGGGGATGGTGTCAGGGTGCTGGGGGTGAGTGCATGGTCTGGTGTGGCCCAACTCCCTGAGCACCGAGAGCCCCGCCTCGCTCAGGAGCAGAGAACACAGTGAGGCCCTGGAGGGTGTCACAAGGCTCTGTGCCACGAGAGGGCCATGGTTTCATGCCCATGGGGGATTTGACAAGTTCTCAGGGCAGGTGCCCCCATGGAGACCCACGCCTCCAGGAGAGATGCCACTTCAGAGCCAGGGAAACCAGATTCCTTGCGCTAGAGAACGTTTTTGACCATGTGCCAGGGACATGCTTATGCCCACAGCCTCGTTTTGCCTTCTCAATAGCCCTGTAAAATAGGTACCGTTATCATCCAGACTTCACCGCTGAAAAAAAAAAGCAGGTGCAAGGAAGTTAAGGGACTCGTTCTAGAGGCAGGAATGGAGAGGCTGTTCCAGAACAGAAGTGGTTGTGCAGGAAGAGAGCAGAAGCAGGGGAGAGTGGACTCCTTCTGGTCCTGCTTCTGGAACGAGCGCTGCTCTAATAACAAGCCGAGTGTCCTTACTGTTTACTTAAGGACCCCATCCGTTCATCTTAACTCCTGTAAAGCACACACAGTTATGCCCACTTTCTCAGGAGGACACTGAAGCTCAGAGAGAATGAGTTTGCACTTTAATTTCGGTCGATCTAACTTGAAACCCACGCTTCCTGCCTGTGCACCCTTGAACTTGACTGAGAGTACCACTAGGTATCCTCAACTCTAGAAGGCAACTTACGTTTCTATCTGTCTTGTAGTTAGCCATAGAGACCCTAGATAACGAGAAACCCAAAAGAATCATACAAAACTCACCATGGGCCAGATTTAAACTAAACATGTGTCACAGGAACTGGACCTGGGTTCCTCTGGCTGCTTTTGCAGCCCCGCCCAACACATGGCCGGTGCACAGTGGGCTCTCAGTGAACATGAAGAGAAGGAAGTCAGTGTTGAAGGGCCTGATGAACCCTGCAGGAGCAGTGGCACCTGCTCGAGGGGTTGGGGGGGCAGCAGTGTGGGCCAAATGCAGGCTGCCTTCACCAGACTCTGCAAGGTGGTCCTCCAAAGCCAACCTCGGAGCGCCCTCCTTTTTCATGTTTTCATAGCATTTTGGGTTTCCCAGCTCTTTCCATGAATTGCAGTCAGGGGGCTGGGTCCTAATTCCAGACCTGAATAAAGAGCCTGTGCATTCCTCTGTGGAGCATTCCCCTGGCCAAGGCACCACTGTGGGGACAGCCAGAGATCCAGCCTGAGGGCAGAACTGTCCATGGCAAGTCAGGGAAGGGGCCTCCCCCTGCTGCTTCGAGGTCCCTTTTAGAAATGAAGATGAACTGTAAAAGCCCCGGTATCGACAGCATAAAAATGTCAGTCATCATCCCCTCCTAGTTATAAATCAAGAGGGAAAGGGATGGGGAATCCCACCCGCTTTTATCTCCTAGGTGAAAAAGAACTCTTTCTCATTTACCTGTAGGGGCTGACATGGCCTTGGGGATCCCCCAAGAGCCCCAGTTGCTCAGTGAGGGGATCTGTCCCCGACTTGTTGACAAAACCATCATTAAATAATTTCATAAACGGTTTTTAAGTGTTTTTTAAAGATTCTACAACATTAAAGACAAATTTCAAATTCACTTCAAAGTCAAGCAGTTCTCTCTAATCCCTATAAAAGTTTTCGTTGTTGCTCCTGCTCTCCCCAGATATACATATTTATACCATTCTGATCATTGTGTAGATATGTTTCTTCCATTTTGCCCAGCCTATCCAATTGGTTCTGCTTTTCCACAGTCTCTATAATTTACATTTCAATTGTTCCATATTATTCCATTTCCATAAAATTACATCTCAGTTGTTTTGTTATGTCTAACGCACCACAGTTTAATAAACCATTTCTTCTGAAACTAGACAATTACATTACTCTCACATTTTAACTATTTTAAAGAGTGCTGTGGAAAACAACTTATACAGATTGCTGTTTGCTTCTGATTAATTGTTTCCTTAAAATAAATTTCAAGAAGTAGAATTACCAAGCAAGGACATAGTGCTTTATCTCCAGTGGTCCCATAGCTTTTCGGTGCCACCGACGACTCCACGTGCCCGTCTTGCCACAGGTGTCCTGCATGAGCAATTATTTCTCAAGGCTTTTATTTTGTTTGTTTTGTGCTACTTTAGTTAGGTATGATGATATTGTGCAGTTATTTTAATTGGCCGTGGAGACAGGTACAGCTGTAGTCCCCTCCCCACCCCGCCCCTTTATTCTGGTTTCACTTCCTGTGGTCTCTGTTACCTGCCGGTCAGCTGTGACCTGGAAGCAGATGCTCCTCCTTCTGACTCATTGTTAGGAGGTTAGTAGTAGGGTAACACCGTGTCATGGTGCCTATGTCATTCCCCTCATGTCATCTTATCAACTCACATCATCACAGGAAGGAGGAGTACAGAGTCTGATAAGATTTTTCGAGAGAGAGAGGCCACATTTGCATAACTTTTATTACAGTATATTGTTAAAACTACCCGATTTTATTATTAGTTACTGCTCTTCATCTGTTACTGTGCCTAATCCATAAGTTAATTTTTTTCATAGGTATGTATGTATAGGAAAACAAAAACACAGCAGACATGGGGTTCAGTACTATCCAGTTTCAGGTATCTGCTGAGGGTCTTGGAGCCTATCCCCCATGGATAATGGGGACTACTGTTTTCTGAGAAAACAAAAGAGCCAGTAGGGAACACATTTAAATCTGCTGTCCTCTTCGCTGATTTCCCCAGCCTTTCCCAACAGGGGTGGCTGAGTGCCTGACGGTGGGAGACAGTAAGCCTGACGTGGGTGGGCCGTGTCTGCACGCAGGCTGGTCCCCCTCACTCTCTGGTGCCTCCCGTCAGAAAGCAGCAGACTTGGCTCCATTAATGGACAGCACACATGTGGGCCCTTGGGCTCAGAGCTTCTCCTTCTGAATCCCCTGCGCTGACTCCAGAATCCCCCGGCTTACAAGCTTTGGAGTCACCATGTCCCCTGTGGTCAGAACTTAGTCATCAGAGCTCCGGGCAAAGCCTCTGCTTTTCTCTTCATTTAGACAGCTTCCAGTTTCCTAAGATGACCCAGTCCCTCTTCTGTGGGTCACAACCAGAACCTTGCCAGCACAAGCTGCTTAGTGCCACATTAGGACCTATTGGAAACAAACAGGGATCCTCGGCAGAACTTTTAATTGCAGTGACCAGGCAAAGTGACAGCTTTGAATAATGAAGCTCAGCCTCATTGACCCAAATGAGCAAGCAGTCATCTGTCTTGAGGGCGGAGGTTTACCGCTAGGTAAGCCAGGGTAATCACCTTTCAGAATGCCACCTCTGCATTTCTCTGACTGATTCCAGAGGACGGCAGCAAAGGAGCATGCAGGAGCTCTCAGATCAGGCTTACCTGGCAGCTTCTGGGACGGTTGTGATGGAAACCACACTATGGCCAGCAGCAGTGGGCCTGGGGGCGTCGGGTCACCCCAACCCCTCTGCCATGCATCCCCGGGGAGCAAGGGCTCTGGCCTTATCTGGATACGTGAGCATCTATAAGCCAGGCCAGAAGCAGCATAGGACAACCTGAGGGCCAGAACCAAGTTGCCAAGTGGCCAGACGGGCTATGAACCTAGACCCATCACACATGAAAAGTCACATGTTTTTTCACTGTGACCTGACCTCCCTGCCTTCTTCCCATTTTAGCAGGCAGATGCATATTTGTTTCTGAGGCTCCCTTGGTGCGATGCTCAAACTTGAGCATGCAAGAACATTTCCTGGAAGACTTCTGAGAACCCATGTTTTGGGGCCCCAACCCCAGAGCTTCTGATTCAGTAGGTCTTAGATAGGGCTCAAGAATGTGTATTTTTAACATCTGGGAACATACACCTGGTTGGAAGGCCACATTTTGCAAATCAGTGTCCTTTCATATGACTGACCAGATGCAAGACAAGTGCAGGTGAGCACACAGCAAGAGGGTGCTACCAGCCTGTGTTTCGCTTATGACAAAAGGACTGCAGATCCTGGCTGGGCCTCAGCTCCCAGAGATGAATGGGACTGAGCTGAGAGGCCAGCATCGACACACGCACGTGCACACTCACACGGGCAGGAGCACACAAACCATAGACCTTGGAATCACAGAATCACCCTGAATCTCTGTTTCCTCCTCTGGGACCCAACAGTGAAAGGGAGGGCTGGATAATTCCACAAGTAGCTGGATTGAAGGTCCCTCTCGTAACCTGTGGGTCTGCCTCTTGTCCCTAGGCCTTGTATGGACACACCCAGGCTGTCACATGCCTGGCAGCGTCGGTCACCTTCAGCCTCCTGGTCAGTGGCTCCCAAGACTGCACCTGCATCCTGTGGGACCTGGACCACCTCACCCACGTGGCCCGCCTGCCCACCCACCGAGAGGGCATCTCTGCTCTCGCCATCAGTAATGTCTCGGTATGGCCCTGCCCTTCTCGATGTCCAGGAGCCTGCCTCGCAGCGTGGTGTAGTGCCCCAAAAGAAAACCCGGGGACAGAGAGAGGCTGACCCCCCAAGAATGTGGAGAGGCTCCCAGATGTGTGGAGTATTCTTTACTCAGGCAAAGTGGAGCCCTCAACATGTGCAGCATCTCGGGCTAGATTTTTTTTTCCTTTTTTTATTTTTCTCCCTCAGGGGGATGGGGGTTGTGGGTGGTGGGGGTGGTGGGAAGTGTCTGTTCTGGCACAGGCATGAAGTTGGCTTTGGTAAGAGATCTGCTCGGCTTGACTAATTCAGCTCAGTGACTGCAAACCAGTGTTAATTCAGCAGGTGCTTCTGGTCTCTGTAGCAGGAAGTGCTTCTGCTTTGTCCCTCTGAGCTGGCTGCCATAGATGAGCCCATCAGGAACATGTGTGTGTGTGAGAGAGAGACAGACAGAAGAGAGAGAGAGAAATATTTATCTAAACCTCAGTGTGAAGTTTCTCACAGGCTGGTATCCCCATTTTAGGGCATGGGGTTCCCTAAGGATTCAAATCCTCTGCATCTATTCACAGAAACACCCAGATCAGTGCATGGACAGAATGAACGAGGGGACAATAGAAGTGGGGGGAGATGGTCAAGAAGGCTCCTGGTACCAATTTTAGTCAAAAGTGGTCTCCATGTAGGCCTGATCCAGGATGAATGTTGCATGGGCAGAGAGAGGATGGATGGATGGATGGATGGATGGATGGATGGATGGATGGATAGGTATGTGAGTGGATGGATATTGGGTGAATTAGTGGGTGGATATGTAGATGGGCAGATAGAGCGTGGGTGTGTTAATGGATAGATGGGTGGATAATGAGTGAATGGATGAAATGGGGGATGTATAAGGAAGGGAACCAAACCCTGATCTGAGAGAGTGTAAAACCCATAAACCCATCAGTCCTCAGAGAAGACTTAACATCAGGACAACTTGTTGACTTAAACTTGTCCTGCTGGGCCCGGTGCTGGGTACTGAACAGAGATATATCAGACATGGTCATTGGCCTCAAGCAGACTCTATATCAAAAAATTCAGGAAAGGACATGATGGACACCAGTCCAGAGAGCTATGGAGGGGCACTGAGTTCCCTACATCCCTTTGGTGGTTAGGGAAAGGCTCAAAGGCTTGGCTCCAGCTGGTTTATGAGGCTTCAGTAACAGTGACCAGCACATCATTGGCTGTAACATAGACAAAGACTTAAGAAGAAAACTCTCAGCATAAACATTACAGGAGATTAAATGGGAGCATTTTTCCTCAGAAATTCCCTTCAGAGGGACACTGTCCAATTTTATGATCCATATACAATCATCCAAACCTCACCAGGAATTTGCAGTGTGTGAAAACACAGCAGACCTAAGAGCCATCTGGGAAGAAGTGGATGTCTTAGAAGGTCTTGGATTACATCGGTTAGTCTTCAGAAGAGAGCAGGATAACAGTGCTTCTGCTCTGCCAGAGCAGAGCAAGGGGCAGCTGGGCAGGCAGTGACCCCAGCATGGAGTAAAGCCAACTCTCGCGATTGCAGGGCACCATTGTCTCCTGTGCGGGAGCCCACTTGTCTCTATGGAATGTCAACGGACACCCCTTGGCCAGCATCACCACTGCCTGGGGCCCTGAAGGAGCCATAACCTGCTGCTGCGTGCTGGAGGGGCCAGCATGGGACACAAACCATGTCATCATCACTGGGAGTCAAGACGGCATGGTTCGGGTAGGTGTGTCTTGGGCAGAATGAAAGCATGGTACAAGAAAGTGTTCTTCTCTGTTTTGCTCACTTCCTCCAAGAGTCTAAATGTATAGGCTGCATTTGAAACCACGAGGCATGCCAGACCAGGTCTCCATAGCAAGTGAGGACAAGGGCAAGGCCCACTCCCAGCAAAAAGTAAATAAATAAATTCATATATATAGAATTTTATGTACACATATACTTATGTAATGAAACACTTAACATCACAAGATGTGAGAGCTGAATGGTCAAATGCACAAGAACATAGCCCAGTGCTGAAAAGAAATACTTGGGCCATCCATTCACACACTTGGCCATCCATCCACCCACTAATTCTATTCTTTACCCACTAGTCCATCCAGCTGTTTATGTCTATACCTATTCATCCATCCATCCACCCTCCATCCATCTTTCCATCTACCCATCCATTCCTCCATCTACCTATTCATCTGTCCAATAATACAACTACCTACCTACCCAACTATTTATCTCTCTGCCATTTCTTCTTTCTTTCCTTCCCTCCTTCCTCCCTCTCTCCCCCGCCTCCATCCCTCCCTTCCTTCCTTTGTTCTTATGTCTCTATCCAATGATCTTTCCTTCTATATATACATCCATTTACCCATGAATCCATCTACCCATGAATCCATCTATCCACCCACATGTCTGTTCATCTATCCATGTATCCATCCGCTAATTCTGGCTCTGTGCCGAAATCTTCATACAAGCCATAGGGGACACACAAATCGATGGTAATAGGCCCTTACCTTCAAGATGCTCATATCCTAGAAGAGAAGACAAACAGAAAATAGCTGTATGCAGCCCATGCTATGACCAGGATAATCAAAGAGTGTCATGGATCCTCTGAGGCAGGCCATGGCGAGGGAGAGCCCCAAGAAACCAAGAAGAGAAGGAAACAGAAACACTGAGGTGTGAGGATTAGCACAGGAAGAACAAGGTAATTTTTCTGAGACTGACAGGAAAGATGAAGGAATAAGTAAATATAAGGAATAATTCAGAGGCTTCCTCAAGAAACTGTCAATTGAATTCCACAGTTTATGAAAGGAAATGTCAACTGAATGCCACAAGGTATTCAGGAAAAGGCCCACTGAATTCTACAAATGGTTATGAAAGCTTCCTGTGTGCCAGCAAGAGACAAAACTGAGGAAGGCCCCTCAAGAAGCCCTGTCTGTGGGCTCTCAGGGGTACATGGTCTCTGCAGAGAGCAGAGTGTCCTGGGCTAGCCAGAACATGAGGAGGCCTGCGAGGCCTGGGCTTGGTGGGGCATGATCCACGCTGTGGGTCAGTCAGAGGAGCCCAGGCTGTCTGAGCAGCAGGTGCATTTCTTCCACAGGACCCCAAGTCGTGAGTGGGGGTCTTTCGTACACTCGGCCCTCATTCATCCAGGATGGTCATGGAGCTCTTAGGATGGCCCGGGGCAGTGTTAGGCCTAGTGTGGAACTCACAGAAGCATTAAAGGAGGTTTGTCTTTGTCCTTTGGCTACAGAACTTCCAGACTTAGCTAGTGAGAAGCCCTACGTGGTCAGCCTGACGACACTCACAGGAGGGCTTGGGACTAAGAGCCAGACACAGAGGATGGGGAGGCCTAGCTGCTGAGTGGTGAGAGAGGCCTTCAGGGATGGAGGCCGTGGGATGAGAGGCATTAGCTGAGTAAAATGTCAACCAGCTCGCTTCTGAATCTCATCCCTACAGCTGAGGTCAAGGGCAGAGGTCCTGTCACAAGAGTGCGGAGTGAACCCACCAAGCGGCAGCTGTGCTCGGCTGAAGCCTAAGTAATTTCTCCCAAAGAATACATTAGTCCTGGAGGTGAAAGGGGCCATGCTCCTGCCCCTTCCCTCAGAGACTCCCTCAGAGTCCCTTGGATGAGAGGCACACACCTGCAGACAGGATCATTTCTCCAGCCAGAAAGATGTTCTTTTTGTCTCTTTTCTGGGCAGATTTGGAGGACCGAGGACATGAAGACATCTGTTCCAGGGCTGGCAGCCCCAGAGGAGCCCTCCACTCCACCTCCAAGCCCTAGAGGTACATGCCTGGCTGAGGGCGTGGGGCATGCTTGCCTTGCTCAGTCTTCCCTATCCTCTTTCTCCCATCCTGTAGCGCCAGTCAGGCCTACAAGCCCAGGGAAGCCATCGAGTCTCTCTGGATGTTGCCGGGTTGGGGGGACAGAGCCATTAATTGCAAGCTGCTGGTGGGATGTGAAGCATCATGGAGAAGTCCTGTTGCATCCTGGTCCCGTCATGCAGGGACCAGTGAGCTCTGCGCTGCTCCTCAGACATGAGAACAGTGGAGATGGTGACTGTCAGGAGCCCGTGAGCTTCAGAGCGGGGAGAGTAGGGGACAACCTTGCAGAGCTTAGTTAGATGTTCTCCATCTGCCTGGATGACCCTTCAATCCCAAACTTTCCAGCCCAGGGCCTGGGTCCAAACATCTACTTGCCTAGACAGCCAGGCTACAGACAGGAGCAAGAAGGGGACAGGGATGGGCCTTGCCATATGCCTAGGGAGAGGAAGTGGTTCCATAGTGCCCTAGCGTGCCCTGTGGATCCTGGCTCAACCCACCCAACCCCATAGCAAGCCCTTCAAAGTGGGTCTTGGTGCCCTCTGCATCAATATCACCCAGAAGCCTTATTAAAAATGTAGATCCACCTTAAACTCCAGAAAAGGATAAGGGGTTGTTAGATTTCCTTATCCACCAGGTCCCCAGGTAAGTGGGGGTGTGCACCGAAGTAAGAGAACAACTTTTCTGGAGCCCTCTTTGGATTGTGGCAGATGGGACTGAGGTAGGGGAATCTGCTCTCTCTCTTGCTATCATGGCCACTTGGTACCACCACCAGCCTGGCTGCCGTTACAGAACTCGGAGGGAGAGGACTGGCCAGGCTTACCATGGTGCACACTTGCCACACATTCTCTTATTTCTCACAGCAATCATGTAAGGTCGATTTTGCTATGACACCCCTGTGTAGGATAAGGAAATTAAAGCACAGAGAGGCTTAGTAACTTGCCCAAAGTTATATGACTACTACTGTTCAGACTCAACCAACCTCAGACTAACTTCACACCGCCAGACTAACCTCGACCGCAAATCCTGCCACACATCACCAACGACAAAACCACCCCCTGACCACAGACACAAAGGTCACCATCGAAGCCATCACCTCCTTCTCTTCTACCCCAGCTGTCCCCATGGCCCCCACCATTCGCTCCTCCAATGCAGCAAACCTCTCTCAGCTCTGTATTCATCGAAGATTTTGGCACAGAACTGAGACATCTTTCTCGGTGTCCATGACGAAAGGAAACATGTTACCATGAAGGGATTCTCCTGTCATCCTGAGTCCCTCTGGTTAGCTCTGCATCCCAGGACCCATGATCTTTCATGGGAGAGAATTTTCCAGAGTTCTGAGGGCTGTCTTCTGAAAAGGGTAGGCATTTTCAGTTAGTTCATTTCTGGAATGTACTCCACACCTTCTTGAACCATTAGTCATCCATTTATGGTTTTTTTCTTCACACAAGCATACACAGACATCTGATCAGCCCTTACTAGGTCCCAGGCTCTGCACTGGGAATCCTTTCCTTCAAAGTAAAGCCATCCGGGAACACTTGTCAATAATCTGGGCTGTCCAGACCAGCGACCTCACGAGGATCTACAACCACATTCACTTCATTGTTCCTAGTGTCTCAAGGGTCCTTTGGGACTATAAGGAATCAGCCCATCTCAGCTTAAAAAGGAAGATGTACGGGCTGGTGCATTTTAAGAAACTGACAGCACTTCCTTGGAGAGCAGGGACCAAATGTCCTCCCCATTGCCACGCACATGGAAGAGAGCTAGCACAGGATCCTTATTCTCTGCCCGTGAACAAGTGCGTGGTACACCTGCCCGAGGGCATGCTAGTTCAGGCTCGGGCACCACTGCACATTTCTGGAACTATGGAGGCCCAGTGAGGAAAAGGTAGATAAATGGATGCCTGAACAGAATGCTGGGTGAATGGAAGGACAGATGAACAAAGGGCACCTCAGAGACTTTCTACTGGTTCTTGAAGTGCCAGCATATTCATGGATGTCTACTCAGGATCAGCAGTTGTGCTGAGATTGTGCTCATTGGGAATGGAGTCCAGAGCAATGGGAAGTGAGATAAAAAGCAGGAGACAAGGCTCTGGACCTGGCTCTGTCCCCAGTAGCTTCTCTGTCCCTCAGTTTCCCCTGCCCCATCAGCTGGAGATGCTCCTACACCCTATTAGGGAGTAGAAAAATATTAGAGAATGAGAAAAATGAGAGCAGAAAAATAATAGGACATAGACAAGAATCTACTCAACAAAATGCAGGTTATCCCTGCAATTTTCACACGGTTGTAAGAGCCTTCCTGACTCGTATACCAGCTGATGACATTAGGGAGCTCACAAGACAGTTTCAGGCTGCCAAGACCCACCCACCCCCCACCCAGCCACCCAGGCCCAGGCCCACATCTTTCCCTGCCATTTGTCCTGCCCTGCCTGAGGTCACCGCTGTCAAATAGAATTATGTGCCAGGGCTGTGATCACAGTTCAAGGGAGGATTCAGGTGAAATGACATGAGGGCACTGACACATTGTTGAAAACCAGGCGAGCCACGGTATGGAGCTAGAATGTCCACATGCAGGCTTACAAACGTAAGCCAGTAGAAGTCTTGCTGTTCTCAAAACATCGCTTGAAACGGTTTTGCTGGAAAGTGACAGTTCTGGGTGTGCACAGATATTGGCACACATGTCCTATTGGTGTGGATATCGCTGCATCCCTTAAATGCTGTAAGGGGCAAGAGAGGGGATCTTTGAAGACATTAAGGATGCTGCATTTGTGTCCAGATGTAATCTGATTTCTTCCTGGGATTCATTTATTTGTCATTTGAAGGGAGGACCAACCCCAGGGAACACAATTCATTTTAGGAATCACCCCGTAGATTTTGACTTAATCTGGTACATAAAAAGTGCTAGAGGAGGGCTTGTTGTCTGGACTTCTGCACAAACACAAAAGGCACATGCATTTCCCAGGGCCTGGGAAGCGGCCCCCTCGGCCCAGCTGGGGCCTCGCAGGGATGGACGCAGCTGATGTCTCTCCGCCTCACCCCTCCATGCCGAAGGAATTACTGTCTGTCCCCAAATGCAGTCATGAAAATGAGTGAAGTAACAATCATCGAGTTATATTTTTTGAAAAAACGTTCTCAGCATTTAATTATTGGTTGTGGCGTGAGAGGATTTAGATAAGTTGATAATGCCGACTTTATGTAATTTATTTTTACTAGGCAATTACGGTCTGCATTACATCCTGGTAGCAAGGTATTGTGGGGCGTCTTATTAAGCATAAAGCCAGTAAACACTGATGAACAATTTTGCTGAACTAGGCATGCAATTTAGAAAGCAATAATACACAAATCCAATTTGGTACACAATGGATACCGCGGCCCGTCAGCACATGTAACTATCACAGGCTGCAAATTAAATTGGGACGGCCCTTTTTGCAACAGCACAGGCCAAGATTAAATATATTTTCCCCCTCAATTTAACAAGTTGCTGACCACAAATATAAATACATGTGTATGTGTTTGTGGCCCCGCGTGTGGACGCACACGTGCCTGTGTGTGAGGCCACTCAGGGTTTCGGGCGACCCTCTTGCCATAATCCCCACAGGTCACAGGTGGGAGAAGAATCTTGCCCTGTGTCGAGAGCTGGATGTCAGCCTTGCCTTGACCGGGAAGCCCAGCAAGACCAGCCCTGCGGTGACAGCTCTGGCGGTGTCCAGGTAACCAAGGCCTGGCTTCTTCAGGCCTCCAGCAGGGGGCGCCAGAAAAGCCCCTTGGCTCTAGGCTCAGGTCCCCAGGCCCTGGGAGGTGGCCTCAGTACCCCAGGAACCTGGGAGGGCCCACAAGGCACAAGAGGCAAACGAGGTGCCCGGGTAGGGCCCTAGGACATTTTTTTAAACACACACATGTTCTTGCTCTCTCTCTCTCAAATATCCATGAACTCATAAAGAAACCATAAAGGTAAAATATATGGCTTTGTAGTTTCATGCCGTAGAGGAACTTTTTTCCTGAGGCCCACTACCAATTATAACATTTGGTGTGGGGATGATCCTACATCACTGAAAAAAGAAAACGCCCTTTGAAAGCTCCAAGCCAATGTAGAATGGCCAAGTGTCAGACACTACCCTTGATAGACATTATTTTATTCTTGCCAGTTACCCCATGGCAGTAAGGGGTGCTTACTGTCATTAATCCGTCCCACACAGCAGGAAGTGTAGCCTCTGGAGGCCATGGGCCTTTGTGAGCTGCTTCCTTCTTCCCTCACTGCCCTGGAGTGGGTGGCTCGGGGTCCATGGTGGTGGGAAGCACTCGGTTCTAGAAGCCAGACTGAAGTGAGTTGGGCCAGCGGAGACCATGGGCAAAGGGACAGAGAGTGCAGAGCCCTAACTCTTTGCTGGAAAACTTGCCATTCGTTTGTTTGGGGGTGTCCAGCTGTGTCTTCACAGGATAACAGGCACACGTGGAGATGCTGGAGAGAAAAGTCTGGGCTTCACCCCGCCTCTTGGAGCCTGGACATCATGGAGTGTCCCCCCAAAGTCACGAGGGAGGCTACAACTCACATAGTCCAAAAGTCCCCCTCCCCCACAGTCAAAACATTCTCCTGTTCTCCCAGCGCACCCACCCCTGCTTCAGGTGGAGGCCAGGTGCATGTCCCATGGGGTCCTGGACTGAACACCCCCGTGTCTCAGTCTCCTGAGGGGTGGCTGGGATAAGTGGGGCTCACAGGCTTGGCTCTACCACTCCTACCTATTCCTTCTCTTCCCAAGAAACCAGACCAAACTCCTGGTCGGCGATGAGAAGGGGAGAATATTCTGCTGGTCTGCAGAAGGGTAGGAAGAAAGAGACGGCGGAGGTCTGGCCCAGCGGCGTGTGTCCTGAGAGGTGGCAGCACCCCGCGAAGGCAGGCTGACGCAGTCCCTGGGGCGCAGAGAAGCCTCCCCCGAGGAAGGGGCTGCTGGCCCTCAGAGCTGCACACCCTGAACTGCTCCACGGCCTGTAGGACTTTGGCTTTGGATTGTCCAAGGACGTGCTCTACAAAAAGGAGAGCGCCTGGGAGCCTGCGAGCAGTGATCTGGAAACCATGACTCGCTCACAAGCTGCCCACGAACTCATGAGACTCACCTTTTCAAAGGGCTAATAGGGTCACTTACTGGAAACTAATGGGAACACTGGATTGTCTTTATTTTATTAAAACAACTATTTTCCAGAAGCAAGAGGGCTCGTGAGTATAAAATCACCCCCCTTTTCCACTCAGCTGTTTGCCTCCCAGACCTAGAAAGGTAGGAAGGCCTCAGGGATGCACAGCCCGCCCTGAGTGTTTCTCAGGCCCTCCTGTCTCCCTCCGTGGAACCTGGCTCTCTGGCAGGCTTGCCTGCTGGACAGGAGCTCATGGGGAGTGAGGGGCCATGTTCAGGAGGCCTACTTCTGTGAGATGGAGGAAGGGGTGCTTCTGAGGTCCATTGGGCCCCTCCCTGGGTGAGAAGGGCCCGTGTCTGACCCCAGGGCCAAGGATCACACCGCCTCCGGCGGCGCTCTTAGCAGACATCCCATTTGCAATCCCCTCATCAGTCTGGGGCTGCACCGGAGGACTATAAATTGAAGAGCAGAGAGCACCACTCCCCAGGAAGGCAAGAAACAGGGTCATAAATATCAAGGCTGGGGCTGCTGTCATGTTTCAAAACACCATTCATCGCATTTTCCCAGGGCTGAAAGGTTTGCTGGCCCAGAGGCTGTCTTGGGCTCATTGACTTGACAAACACATCCTGAACCGCTGCCTTTGCTTCCCCAGATCACTGGGAAAGGAGGGGGGATGGCGTCAGGTCTTAATTGTTGGAGTCGTGGGGCTAAGATGTCTGTGCAGACAAATGTGACTTGAGAGGAACGCTGAAGACACGGACGCCCTGTGCCCTAGGTAGGCCCTGGGCGATACTGCAGCTCTTGCAGTCGGCGTGGGCTGCCAGGATACAGTGTCGCAGGCTGGGTGGCTTAAACAGAAAGGCTTTGCACAGTTCTGGAGCCGGGAAGTTTAAGATCAGGGTGTCGGCCCGGTTGGTTTCTTCTGGGGCGTCTCTCCCCACCTTGTAGATGGCTGTCTGTGTCTTCACATGGATCTCCTCCTGTGTCTGTGTCCTAACCTCCTCTTCTTATAAATATACCAGTCATGTTGGATTTTAAGGTCCATCCTCATGACCTCATGTTACCTTAATTACCTCCTTAAAGATGTTATCTCCAAAAACTGTCACATTCTGAGGTCCTTGGGATCAGGACTTCAACAGATGAACTTGGCCAGGATACAGTTCAGCCCAGAAGGAGGCGGCCCTGGAACAAAGCTTGGGAGGGCAGCTGTGAGTCAGCCATGTGCGGGTGGAGAGCGAGACGTTGCCAGAAGAGAAGACCGCGCCCGCAAAGGCGCAGGGCAGGCCAGGCCAGAGCCAGAAAGAGCAAGCCGGCAGAGCGAGAAGACCACGTGGAGGCTGGGAGCAGGAGGGGCTGTCACCTCAGGCAGCCTAAGCCCTTTTCCCTGCATCCCCACTTCCTGCCAACAGCAGCCTCAGTTTCTCTGTCTATAAAATGGGGCTACCTAATGACTTGTCATGGGGTTAATGTCATATCTGTCTATTTTACGGAGGGCTGAAGAGGACAACAGGTGGCCTGTCCTGACATGATGTAGTCTTTCAATAGATCACTGATTCAGTCACTCACCTGTATCTTCTCCTGCTGAGCCAAGCCCCTTGCCAGGGTCCTGGGGACAGAGAACATTCTGCCTGTTCCCAGAGAGGCTCCCTGCCTGGGCTGAGGAGAGGCACGGAGAGAGCATGACGGGAAGCATGCTCTGCACCTAGCGCAGGTCTCTCAGGCTGGAGCAGGGACGTTCACGCAGGAGACCATTGCTTCAGGAATGTCCTGGAATGCAAGCCCACCTCTCAGTTTCCGGGTCCCTCCCAGAGCAGAAGCCGAAGTCCGCATGTTTAACAGTTCCCCAGGCCGTGAAGACGTGGGGCCTGGAGTGCCCACTCGGAGACATTCTGGAGCAGACAGAGACAGGACCCGGCAGGGATGGAGGCCTTTGCCCTCTGCTGCCCATGCTGCCATCTCAAGACAAGTGCTGAGGGGCTTCCCTGACCTCTGGGGTCAGGGACCCCCGTGTTCCACTCGCTTTCACTGGCTCAGCCAGAGACAGTGGGTGTGCCCAGTGCTCGCCCAGTTGAGCTCATCCCTATGACAACTACTTAATAACCGTGAGGCCAGGGGCACCTGGTGGGCACAGTCTGTTGAGCATCTGACTCCTGGTTTTGGCTCAGGTCGTGATCTCGGGGTCCTGAGGTTGAGCCCCCCTCGGCTCTGCGCTCAGCAGAGATTCCCTCTCCCTCTCCCTCTGCCTCTGCCCCTGCTCTCCCTCTCCCTCTGCCTCTGCCCCTGCTCTCCCTCTCCCTCTGCCTCTCCCTCTCCCTCTGCCTCTGCCCCTGCTCACACATGTGAGGCTTTCTCTCTCTCTGCTCACCCTGACCTTTGGTTTTCCATCTCCGCTGAGAGCCCAGGGAAGGGAATTCAGAGCAACGGACCTCCCTCTCACGGCAAACAGGACGGCGGGGCTTTCAGTCCAGTCTGCCAAAGTGCAAGATCAGGATGTGCATTTGAGTCAACCCTTTGGGAGACAGCTTTACCCACCGTGGGTCCCAGCAAGGCTCGAGCCATGCCCAACTCTCGATCAGGACAGGCTTAGGCTCACCTGGGGACATACTTACCCTAAAAACTCTTCATTGCTTATCAGAAGTTCAAATTCAACCGCTTGTGTTTGTATTTGTTAAGTCCCAGTGCCCTGCTCCCTGGACCTCCAAGAGGCAAGGAAGGATGGTGGCCGGCCCAACGACCCCACACGCCCATAGTGCTCAGTGCGTGAAAGTGGATTGCTTCCGTGAATAGCTAGAACCCAGTGGAGGGACTGCCAGGCTTCTTTGTGCCACCAATCATGTTTCCTCTGGCCCTCGCTCTCGGTGGGTATGCCCTGACCTTCCGGTTTTGTCCCTTTGTGCGCTGGACTCCACGTGGGACAGCAGCTGCCTCCCCCACGCTCTGCCAGAAGCCGGGGGCCAAGCCCTGAGCACCCAGTCTCAGGGCTGGCGAGAACTCAGAGACTGGATTTGGCCACATTAGCATGCAGCCGAGCAGGGCACATGTGGGGAGAACAGACTCTTCATATGAAAATCCTGATGAAATTTGTTTAGCATAAAATCAAATCTCTCTAAGCCAAAATCAGTTTTGCTTTAGTAAGTTCTGGGTACATGTCACATGTGCAGATCCAGAGCACATGTGTGTGTGTGTGTGTGTGTGTTTGCTCACACGAGTGTGTTGTTTCCATTTCATTCTTACTGGCTGCTGCCAGTAGCACCTTCATAGTCCTCTTAGTAAACAGGATTCTCCAAATTATCTCCTTCCCCCAAATCCTTGAAAGCTCAGAGAACACTGTGAGGTCCAGGACAGAGCTCTCTGTCTGCCCACAGAGCGGCTGATACAGACACCCCTCTCCCAGGACCCACTACTGCCACCTGCCAGAAATGATCACGTTACACCCCGCACCCTGCCATGACTCCAGGTGCCCCGGGCCCAGCGCTGTGCCTGGCACACTGTGCGGCCCTACTCCTCACTCAGGCAGCTGGAGGTGATGCGATCTCACTGACGGCAGAGTGACGGCTTAACTGTCCTTCCAAGCAGTGGCTCCTTCCTTCCTTCCTTCTTCCTTCCTTCCGTCCATCCATCACTCCTTCCTTCCTTCCTTCATTTCTATTTACTACCCACTCAAGCGACTGCACATTCATTCATTCATTCATTCACTAGCATTGCCCAAGGGACCACTGAGTGTCTGTCCCAAGCCAGGCTGGAGCCTGACAGAGAGGCCAAGCCTGGACACGGATGCCTGAATCTTAAGCCCTAAGAGCCTGTGCCATTGGGGGTCACGCAGCCCCTCTAATTCTGCTGTTTTACAAGTGGGGAAACCAGGGCCCAGAAAAGGGAAGGGAGGTAACTAAGGTCATGTAGCAGGTCAGGCAGGTCAGTGGCAGAACCTGGTCAGGGCTCTGGACAAGAACACCCCTGCAGTACCACACGGCCTCATGTTCTTTGGTGGGGGGAGGGGTGGTGGTGGTGGCACAGGCAAGATGGAGGTCTAAGCAGCCTGCTGCCAGGCCCCAGAGCCTCAGCCCCTGCCTTACTCTCCAGTCCCTGGGTTTCTGGGACCCTACCTCACCTCACAACAAAACATGGAGAATGAAGAGTGGATATAAATGCTTCTGGAAGAATAAAAAAGAAAAATGGGTTGAATACTTTGTATGGGAAGAGACCAGCTTGGATACCTCCTATAACAAGGAACTCACTGCCTCAAAAAGTAGCACTCTGAGACCTGGGAGTTGATCCTCCCTACTCGGAGCACAAGTCACAGGAGGCTCCTGCACTGGGCAGCCCGGACCCCTGGAGTCTGGGGAGCAGAGGCTGCGGGATCGCCCCTTCGGACTGGGTGTGACTCTCGGCTCTGTGCCCCTCAGCCCCGGTTGTCCTTCTTTCCTGGGGTTCTGTAAGTCAGAGGGAAAATTCCCCACCTCACAGACTTCTGGAAAATTCAAAGAGATCCTGTGTGTAAGCTTCTACCACAGAGCAGGGGCTCAGGAAAGGCTTATTATTGTCATGCTAATTACCGTGGTTTCTCACACAGGGCCTGATAAGAGAATAATACTTTCCTTTTCTTCTCTCTCCTCTCCAGGGCATCATCCCCTCATTCAAACGCTTCCAGAATTTTTCTCATTCCGGACCACCTTTACAATTTCTCTAGGCCGTCTGTATCAACCACAATGATCTTAATGTTGTCTTTAACTTCATGCGTTCTGTGAATTTTAACCTCTAAGCATTAATGTCTGTGAAATCACAGGTTTGAGACACAGTTCTTATTTTTTTTAATTACATAAAAATAAAAGGGAAAACAACTCTTCCTCATGTCCCCCTATAACCACCCAGTCCGGGGTCTCCTAGATACAACACCAAAAGTACGATCCACTAAGGAAAAATAGGTAGATTGGATCTTGTTCAAGATATTCTGTTCTTTGAAAAATACTGTAAACAAAATAAAAGACAAACCACAGATGGAAAAAAAATTTGCAAAGCACATATCTCACCCAGGACTTGTATCCAGATGATACCTTTTATAAAGCTCCCAAAATT